GATTTTAATGAACTTTCACAAATGAATGAAATTATTTTAGAAATGTCATTTTTTGGGGGGTGGGGGAATCTTTGTAATTTTTTTTTTTTTTTTTTTTTTTACATCTGTTAACTCCCACTTATTTAATTTTTTGAAATTTCGAGAAATTAAATTTTGTGCCTCTTAATGTTTATATTAGTTAAAAGCAGAACTCCTTGGAGAATTTAAATCATCAATTTTCTTTTTGTAAAACAGGATCGCCAGTTACTGAAAATCTGCTGTGAATTGTGAAATTAAAAAATGTCATAAACATAAGACATTATTTAATTAAAAAAAACTTTTAATTGCTTTTATGAAGAAGAAGGACAATATTGTCATAAGATTTTTTTTCGATGAATAATGAATTTTTACAATAATTTATTTTCATTTTTTAAAATTTTCATTAGAATAATTTATAAATTTCTGTATTACTTTGTCCTGGTTAGGTGATATTGTTATTAAGTAAAAACTGTATTTACTCATCATAAATGGAAAATCTTACAATTCATTGAACATTGATATTTTAAAAAGAATTTTGAAATTACGGGCGTCCATACACGACATTATCAGAAAATGATAGCGATAACTATAGTAAATTTAAAGCCAAATTACTTAAAATTCAATAAAACATTAGATTACGGAGAATATTTTCCTAAATTTTTAAGATTACTGAGTACTTAAAAATTATATAAAATGGCGCTCACGTTATATCCCTAAAGTATATTTTACAAATATGTCCACCGTAGAAAAAAAAAATTAGATAAACTTCCGTCTGTCAGTTAAGCGCTCAACATCTTGAATAAACAGCTACTGCCGTATTAAAAATGCATTTCCTCGATATTTTAAACTAAAAGTAATATTTCTTTAAAATCGGATTAATTAACTTTAAATCAGCTAATATTCCTCAAATAAAGTTTCAGGAAAGTATATTTTATTTTTTAATAAAGAGAATTACATTCTGATGGAAGATGGTTAAAAATGGTGCTAAAATCAGTGATTTTGAGCGATTTCAAAACGAAAACTCCTCCCAATCAAATTAGATATGTATTAAAATGCAGTATTTTTCTCCTTGGAAATATTAATCTGTTGGCTTGAAATTAAAACTAAGATAGAAAAAAATCATTTTAAACCTTAGGTACTGCGAATCTGTGGAGGTACCTATGTGTTGCAGTAAATACTGTATGTTGCTCTGCAGTTGGAGATTCGTCTCCAGCCGTGCTGGTCAAACTCTCTGCCTCCGGACAGAGAGGATCCCCAGACGAGGCTATGTCTCGGGAAACAGCTAACCGACCCCGATTTAAACGGGAAAGTTTTGACCGAGCCTACGAGCTCGGATACCCCCATTAAATTCGGCTTTGTGCCACATCTGACCGCGTGGGGCAGTTGGTAAATATCCTGCAGTTGGAGATTCATTGTGGAATTCACTTGACTCACTTCTAGCAGTTGACTACTTTTACACGCCGCTGGCGAATCTTATATGTGTTGTTCTTGTCCTAAGTATTATCGTTCATTACCAACCTTCGTGTGATTATTCTATTCAGTAACCTTCCCTAGGTTACAGCACTATGTAAATGTTAAATGACTCTTTTCTACATTCTTTTTTTTTTTTAAGAAGTAATTTAGGTATTTAATTATCCATAATTTTGGATTATCTGATCATATTTTTTCAATTCGTCCTAAGCTGTCTGGATAATCAAGAAGGTAGTGTATTGAACAAGATATAATACATATTTAACATCGGTATATATTTCTGAGATTGTAACTATTTACATCGTTCGAACTGTTGTCACTGTCTTTATTGCAATATTCACGACGTTTCAGTTGTTGTACGCTCCGACCTTCTTCAGGTGATATACATTGGAATTTTGAACCCAAACCTTTATTAAGTCCACGTGAGTATATTGTTCTACTTCCACGGGCCATGCCTTTTTTGGTGATGTCTCAATATCAGTTAATTCTCTTTAGTAATGCAACTCTTCAAATATGGATAAAATAGCAGGGTAGACTGGGTCCCCTAGCGCTGAATGAAAACCTGTCTAAGAGGAAAAAACTCTGCATTGCAAATATGGATAAATATGTGGAGGAAACAAATCTACAATTCATAGGTGATAAAGAAAAGGAATCTGTGGAGAGCTATGATCATTTAAATCCTTAAAAAGGACATGCTACTGACAACCAACATTATGAATTAAACAAACTGTTAATGTTGAAAAATGAAAATGGGAACTACTTAAATATACTGGTCCGTACATAATTTTTAAAAAACTATTTTTGTTAGATTAGCATTCATTTAGACCCTCAAGGCGTAACATTTGTCGGAATCAAAAAATATTGACTTTTTATCATTTTAGAAGAGTGGGGCTCCTGTTCCTGATATAAATAAAATGTCAAATCAATCCCTGACTTCTACTTTGTTTTTATTTACAAACTAGCTGAATTACTAGTGTCTTGCTGTGTGTGTTTCACTTTTTTTGTAAAATGATGATTGATTTTAAATCATTGTTATAATTTGTGGAGAAAAATGATGCATTTCAATATTACTCAATGATCTTGCCAAATGTGACCTCCATCTTCTGGCTTTTTACTTTAATATTTGGAAGAGGAGTCATTCCCTTGTTCAAATTTAAATTTCATTTAAATGAAAAGGGAAAAAAATTTCAGAAGGAGGTTTGTGCAAAAACAGCTTGATCTGACCCCTTTAATATGTACTTGATACAATACTTGATTGAATGAATTGATGAGCAGATTTCAACATTTATATGACAGTTGATTTTACTGTTTTTAAACTACAATTCTCCATGATTTTCTAAACATAAAAAATGTCTTAAAATAATTGTCAGGCTTTGTCCATTTCATGTGTGACATCATTTGTTTACATTTGGATATGCATCAAGCAGATATGAATGTACAAGAGAAAATCATGGAGAATTGTAGTTTAAAAACAGTAAAATCAACCTTGTTAACCAAAATGCTCCTCTGTGGCTAGATTGGTAAAGCACGTCAGGCTATATGACAGTTCCTTATTGGATACAGGTTCGATTCCTGTCGGAGGACGCATATTTTCTACGAAAATTTCTTGGATATTCAGGCCAGTAAATGTCGTTAATATTGTTTATTATAAACAGAGCATTTACTTAAATATTTGTATCTATAAAAAAAAATGTATAAACATAAAAAATGTCTTAAAATAATTGTTGGACTTTGTCCATTTCATAATATATAAACATTACATTTTTAGAAGCCCTAAAAAATTAACAGTTTTTTAAATATATAATAAAACGTTAGGTAAACAAAAACACTAGAAAGCAAGACAAATTATGAAATAGTTAAAAAATAAACAAATGCAAATAACCATCCTGGGTATGACAACAAGCTACATCTGTGTCCTGGGTAAGATGACAAACTAATCTGACAGCAAAGCCTCTGATCAGGAGGTTTTGACGAATGTGGAACCACCTCTTAATTGCTGGTATTCCCAGGTCCACCCTGACCTGGGGTGGTAGCACTTGTTAGGGTCCTAGCTATGGGCAAATAGTTGACCCCACCAAACTGGGATCTATGAAAGTGTAAAAATACCAGAAATACGTTTTTGTAAAAAATCATTACCAGCAAGAAATTTTTGAAAGAAAAGATTATTACCAGCAAGACATTATTGAAAAAAAAAAAAAAAAAAAAAAAAAAAAAAAAAGGATTGCCAGCAATAAAAATTTTGTCGGCATTAAATAACCCATTGAGGTTGATATGCTGTAAAACAAAACAATCCAAACACAAATACCGAAAAGTTTGTTAAATTTAGAAAAAGATAAACAAAAAATGAAACTTTAAAAAATAAATTAAACATAAAATACTTGGAAATTATTGCCATTATTTAAGATACAATAAAATAAATTATACTGCTTGTTTTGTGTTTTGTTTGTGGGAAAGGAGTTTTAGGGCGGATAATGAGAACTATCCAAACATGCAAGTTTGAACAGGGCAGCACCAACCCAGATATGTCTATAATATTCCTCTTTAAGTTTAATGTGTCTCTTGTAAATATTGTAAACTACAAAATGAAGCTGGCAAGTACATGCAAATTTTAAGAAAAGTAAATATGTTATGTGCATGTGTGTGTGCACACATGGTAGGTGGGAGTTACAAGAACAAAACATTTGTAAACTATTCTGTTAATTCTTGAACCAAAATTAAGCTCCCCTGATACGGGTCAAAATCAACAAAATTTGAGTTGTTGAATGTACTTAGCAGCATAGAATGGATATTTTCTATATACATAAATTTAAATTTCTATATATTTAAATTTTCCAGTAAATGAAAATTTGAGTATTATTATTTATTCGTATTTAATATTAATATTATTTTTGTATTTAATATATATTGCTTATTAGTATTTATTATATTTAGTATTCAATATTTATTAGTATTTTTTTATATTTAGTATTCATTATTTATTAGTATTTTTTATATTTAGTATTCAATATTTATTAGTATTTTTTTTATATTTAGTATTCATTATTTATTAGTATTTTTTATATTTAGTATTCAATATTTATTAGTATTTTTTATATTTAGTATTCATTATTTATTAGCATTTTGTATATTTAGTATTTATTATTATTTATTACTATTTATGAGATATTCCAAAAAGGCATGGCATGTGGAATTAGAACAATTTACCCCAACCCTGGACTAAATAGTATCATACCACTTTCTGTATGAATAAATATTACATTACGACTTACTTATCTGTAAATAAATGAAAAAATAACACAATATGCAGTGAATGAGGAAAATTTATTTGACTTGTTGAATGCATTTAGCAGCATAGAATGGATATGAAAATGAGTCAGGAAAATGAATTTTTATCATGAGAAAAAAAAAAAGAAAAGAAATACATGAGAGACTGTTAGACAATCAATGTGGGATGTTTTTTTAGTGTCAGAAAAAAAAATAAAAAAAAAGAAGAAACAAGCATGTTTCCAGCTTCACAAGACTTCAAATGTATCAGAATTTTCAGTTTGGCTGAAATTAGAAAGAAAGACAATTTCTGAACAAGTATGGGAAAATGTAAAAAAAAAAAAAAAGAAATTAAGATTTTTTTTTTAACAAAAAACATACAACATCTGCTCAGAATATATCTAACCATTTTGAATATCCCCCCTGCCAAAACCAGTCATGCAGCCTTCATGTAACATGGAATCTAATTAAAGGGGACCTTACTGCGCATGTGTGAACAAAACATGTTACTTAGAGTGACTAAATCAGTATTGAGATACTATCGAGTGAGCAGGTATATTGTGTGACCATCCTATTTGCAATGAGTAGATCTTGTTTTACAAAGTCAGGTAAAAATGATAGACAATCACATTTAAAAAATTGATGGGTGGTGTGTTGTATTGTCAAGGTGAATGATACACAGAGAAGAATGAGTGCTTAATATATTTATTCAGCACCAGTATCCGGTGTATACAAAAAACACAGAACAATAAGTTACAAAAATATTAACAAGATAACTTACAAGGAATAGAAGAGGGTAAAATGCTGTATAGCCAAACAAAGTAAGATCAGTCCAAATATTAATTCACTTAATATCAACTGTTGAAGTCCTTAATCGTAGACTATTTAATGAGCCAGGTCATCTAGTAGTGTGCTTAAGGAGTGCTAGCTACTCTAAAACACAGTGTGAAACAAAATTGGTTTACAAAAATATTAAATATTAAAGTTAGAATATTTTTTATAATTTTTAGTTTCTTTATGAACTGCTATGTAATATCAGTCCTCTTATATAGCAGTAAATGCCATACAATTTCCTTAGAGATGAAGAGGAAACTTAGGGTAACAGAGATATGGCACTACAGGAGGATGGTGAGAATACCAAGGATGAAACATGTGAACAATGAAAAAGTTTTAAGGGAAATGCAAATGAAAAGGTTATTTATACTTAGAATCAGAAAGAGGCAGTTGAAATTTTTGGGACACATGAGGAAAGATAGGGTTAGAAAATTTGACATTCAAAGGGCATATCAAATGCAAAGGGGACGGCGGGAGGGAGAGAGAGAGAAAGCAAGTAACCTACTTAATAAAGGTTATGCAAATGGATAGCAGAAATAGATAGTAAAATGACAATCTCTGCTAAGAGCAACAAAGGATAAGAAGTTGTGGAGAGCCATGATCTTCCACATCCTGAAAGGAGAAAGCACCAAGAAGAAGGAGACATTTGTTAGACATATATATATATATATATATATATTTATTTAAGAGAATCTATTTTTTAAAGGAAATTTCAAGTTCTGGGTCATTTAGATAAAAGACTTCAAAACTCTTTGATGTGGTCAGATAACATTACAAGTGAAGGTCTATCGTGCAGGTATTCATATTTGTTGGTTGTCATCAGAAGTGAGTGAGTTGGCTGTCAAAGTCACTTGTTGTAGAAATCTGCTTCAGAGCAGTCCATTTACTAACATTTGCTGACTTGACGTGTAAACTAGGCCATGGAAACCAGCAATTCCTGACTGAAGTTATTTTGAAGTATTTCTAAATTCTTTCCAGTAACCCTTCATGTTTTTTGCCTTTTTAGCCACAGACCAAAATCACTAAAATTGAAATAAAACCGTAGCTGGTCTTCTGTCATTCCCTTTACTTCTCTTTATTTCTTTTGTCATGTGTGTGGGTGTGTGTGCATGAGTATAAAATAGGATGCAGAATTTTTTAAGCTTGAAGAATGACAAATGGAAATCCGTTTCATTGAAACTACTTGAGATTTTGTGTGTAGGCATTACTAGGCTTCATCAGATCAAAAATGAAAAAGAAATATGTAGGTGTGTATGTTTAAATAATAAATCATAACACTGTTTCAGCTAAGTTGGCATTTCACATGATAAAAGAAAAGAAAGAAATTTTGTCACTTTGTAAAGAAAAAAAAAAGTATGTATCTGTCTATGAATATGTAATGTAAATAGTGTAAATATGTATGCATAAATGAATGAACGAGATATTGTCCGGAAATTATCTAGTCATTTTGAGTATGACCAAAGCCAATTGTGCAGCCTTGATATAACTTGATAACCAATCAGAGGGAACCTTACCGAGTATGCAGGAACACACACACAATCCTGTGGGTTACCCAGTTGGCAGTTAGACATTGTGTAAGATTGGCTACAGTGATCACAATGACTGAAGAACTAATCAGCAGTCTTATGCAAGTTTTTTCTTTGGTTTGACTAAAATCAAATCTCCCAGGCCTGCCAGCATGCCAACAGACCAGATTTGGCTCTCTCTGTTTGTTGAAAGTGGGGAGGGGAGATTTTGGACTATTGACAAGACTAAGGATTAAGAAGAATGTGATATGAGAACTGGAATTCTTTGCAAGATTCAAGTCCCATTTTCCCTAGGTAGGCTTTTTCTTTTCCTGTTAATATCAGATAGCTGCATCATTTCTGGGTAGATGTTAGATACAAAGTGCTACCCAAAAGTTTGGGAAATGTAAACAAGCTGAATGATTTGTGAATAAAACATATGTAGTATTGCCTTTACCACAACCCTTTGTGAGCAGTACACTTTGTAAGATCACTATCAGATGGCTGGACTATTCTTGCTATTTGTGAAAGACAAGAAACTGAAAAATGGTTTGTTGTGTTGCTGGAAACTTACAGAGACACACACACACCTAATATAAGAAAAGTTGTTGTGATAATAATTATTATTTAATACATTAGAAAAGGATAATAAATAGACAGTACTTGGGATTGAACCTGGGATTAACTTTGAGCTGTCCTTTTCTGACCAAACAAATTAAAAGTATTATATATAAATTAGTAAAAGATTTTAAACAGTAGAAAAACAGAAAGTGTTAACATTTGTACTTAGTTTAGCTGAATTAGGTGGAAGGTTTGGAGAAAAGATAAGAGATACACTTAGACTTTGTGCCTAGATTTGAGTCAAGGTTAAACATTTGATTGCATAAAAGTGTTTATTTTTATGGGAAAATACACTGTTTCAAATTATTAATGAGGTGATACTTTTCCATCCTATCCAAAAACTACTGGTGGGAATTTAATGAAATTATCAGAATGATGACAACATGTATATACACCTACTCTTTAAAAATTGTCGGGTTCTAGTAAAAGGAACACAAGTTAATTCTTTCATTTACAGAGTTTTATGGATATATATAGTTACTAAGATGAAATTGAATCTAAATAAAAAAGTAAACAGAGTTCAAAAAGGATCGTGGATTTGGTTAATATGAGATATGTGATCCTTTCTTTTTAAAATGACTTGAAAAAGGTGCTGGTTTATCAAACATGCCAATTTCCGGATCTCTGATGTAATTATTTTACGTGATATGTTGACCATTTCCTGCCATAAGTCATCCTTGCTTCTAAATTGGTGTCCATTCTCATAAACATGTTGCTTCAGAATGCGACATAAGATTTCAATTGAGTTTAAGTCTGGAGAACTGACCAAGCCAGTTCATCTTCTGAGGTCCACAGAAGAGAAGCCTAATTTCTGCAGGTACTCTATAGTTTTATGTGCTGAATGTGAAGGAGCATTATCTTGCATAAATATGATGGTTCTCCTGAAGGGGATTCTTTACTTTTTTTTTTTTTAGCAAAGATTCCAAGTGCTCTTTGAGGAAAGCTATATAAGCATCTGTGGTTATTTTTGTACCGTCAGGTACTCTCGATGGACTAACCATGATAGCTCCAATAAATTCAGCCCAAATCATAATACCTCCTCCTCCTTGTTGGCGTGTCAAACATTGATGATGATCTTGTCCATTTATGACCCAGGGGCCATCAAGTGTTGCCCGACTCATCTGTGAACAGAACTTTCAAGAAATTGACTGAAATCATGTTCTCCTTTGCCTATTTCAAATGTATTTGTACTTTTGTCAATCTAGGTTTTGTCACTGGTCTCACTGATGTCCCGACCTTTTTCAGAAGACGATAGCCAGTACTTCTGGACACTGTTGCTTCTCCAGTGCTCCACTGGTCAGGCCTGGGTTATTTACAGTTTCACGTTTCATTCGTGAAAGAAAGAACGTTGAAAAACAACCCTCAAGTGACCCTTATCGGCCCTCTTAAGTACCTTCATAGGAGCGGCAACAAATCTTTTCACAGTTTGGTGATATCTTCCAATTATTTTGGATATTTCTAATGAAGATTTACCTTTGAAAGTTCAGATCTTATAATATCTTTCTCAGAAAGTGTCAAGAGGTCACATTTGCATGATTATAATGATGCTTGTTTACAGTTTGGAACACTTCTATATTTTGTTAATATTGCAAATGGCCACTGTTTGTTTCTTGTTATGCAGAACAATACAGTTTTTATACAGTCTGAGCATATACCTATTCCCATTATACTGTGAAAATTTTGTTAAATTCCAACTGGTAGTTTTTGGACAAAATAAAAAAAAAAAGTCACTTTGTTAATAATTTCAAATGCAGTGTATATTAGGTGAAGTCATAAATCATTTTTGTTTATTCTTCAAAGGAAATAACATACAATTACATTTTTATTCCATTATATATTCACCATTATTTGCAATGACTTGTTGCCACTTATCAGGAAGCTCTTCGATAGGCTTTGAATAAAATTATGCAGGTTTTGATGTGAAAAATTTCTTGACAAACTCTTGAATCTGGTTTTCATCAGAGAAAGATTTCACCATCAAAATATTTTGCAGTGATTGGATTTGAATGATTGATTTGTTTTCTATGGCTTATCAACCCTTTGTAGGTCATTTAAAGCCAGAAAATATTTTTAGATTCTAAGATGTTTTTTTTTTTTATTGAGATAATTGTTTAGTGATAAAAGTCTTACTAAACGAACCATAGCTGGGAGTGGTGAGGTAGATTCATATCTAATCAGAATTTGATAAACAAACAAGATATGTGGATATACAATAGGGGATCAATTCTGTATTACAATCAATATATAAACTAACCCGTTACTTTGTGTCCACTGTAGTTTCTATACATTTATATATCAGAGAATGTAAATAAGTCTTAAAAGACATGCCAGTGTATCTTATCAGCATTTCATTGATTGATTTGTTTTCTATGGTTTATCAACCCTTTGTAGGCGATTTAAAGCCAGAAAATATTTTTAAATTCTAAGAATGTTTTTGAGGAGAGGGGAGGATAATAATGGCTTAATGATACAAGTTTTACTAATTAACCCATAGCTGGGGGTAGAAAAGGTGGATTCATGACTTTCTCAGGAGTATTTGCATGTAAGTGAATATAATGAACCCAACTGGAATTGAAATTCTACTTTTTGATTATCAATTCTGAGCCATTATCCATTACACCACCTGTAATGTAGCATCCAAAACTAAGGGACAAAATTTTAAACCCTAATATTTGTTAGAAATAACAACTGTGAAAAGCTGAAATTTTGACAACTGGTAGTCGTTATCATCCATAATAACATACTAAAATTTGAATCATTTGCAAAGGATAGAAAAAGAATTATAACAATTATTTATTTATTTTCAAATTTGGAACATCCAAAAGTAAGGGACAAAATTGAGAAAAACAATGTAAACAGCAAAAAAAACAATAAAATACATGTACAATCAATATTTAGTAAATGAGCCCTTGCTCTCAATGACAGCTGCACATCTTCAACTACAAGAACGAATCAGTTCTTGACAATCCTCGATACTAATTTTAGACCATTCTTCTTGAAGCTTCACCCACAAATCCTCCGTGTTAGTGGGATTTCTTTCCATAACTTTCCCCTAAGGTCTTCCAAAGATTTTCTATTGGATTTAAGTCAGGACTTTATGGTGGCCAATCCATAATTTCCAAATCTTGCTCGCTAAGGTAACTCATTGCCACCTTTTGCCTTGTGACATGGGGCATTATCTTGCATAAAGGTAGCCCTATCGAAACCTGAATTCTGTATGATTGGCACAACATGATCTTGAACAATGTTTTTATAGATCTGCGGCGTTACACGAGTTTGTAACCGGACAAGAGGCGTTGTACCTTGGCTAGAAAACATTCCAAATACCATGGCCTTCCTTCCCAAAACTTGACAGTTTTCTTAGTACACTTTGCACTTAATCTTTCACCAATACGCTCTTTACATTGTTTTTTCCATCATTTCCAAATAAATTAAACTTGCTTTCATCACTGAAAAATACTTTTGCCCAATTTTCATATGTCCAAATTACATACCTGTTTGCAAACTCTAATCTCTTCTTCTTATTCTTCTAACTAACAAGTGGTTTCTTCCTGGGGTTCATTAAACAGCCCTATTTCTTGCAGTCGTCTACAAACAGTCTGTCTTGACACATTAACACGAGGTACTATTCATAACCCTTTTTAATTTCTGTGCAAGACTTAAATGGTCCTTTAATGACATACACTGCATTATTCGATCTTCTCTTGTCAAGTTTTTGCCGGGTCTGCCGGTTTTAAAAGCACTAACTATTTTGCCAGTATCATTGTAGGATTTAACAACCCTGCCTACAACACTCTTGGAACGTTTCACTTTCTCTGAAATCTCTCTAATGATGTGTTTTCCTTGTGTAGCTTCACAATAGCTTGTCTCACAGAGTAATCAATTTTTTGGCATTTCGCCATGGTGCCGGCTGATGCAACGTTTACAAATTACTAAGTAAGACTTATTCTTTAGAGGAAATCAAAAAATTTGAATATAGCATACTGTTTACATTGTTTTTCTCAATTTTGTACCTTACTTTTGGACGATCCCATTTTGAAAATAAATAAATAATTGTTATAATTCTTTTTCTATTCCTTGCAAATGATTCAAATTTTAGTATGTTATTATGGATGATAACGACTACCAGTTGTCAAAATTTCAGCTTTTCACAGTTGTTATTTCTAACAAATATTAGGTTTTAATATTTTGTCCCTTAGTTTTGGACGCTACTGTACATTCAAGCTTACGGCACATGGTGTTCCCAGGCAGTCACCCATCTAGGTACTGACCAGGCTCAACGTTGCTTAATGTTGGTGATAATACAGGAACCAGTGTTTCAATGTGATGTCTTCTTTTTTTTTTTTTTTAAATATTTATATTGCTTGAAATGATAAAAAAAAAAATCCCCACAAATGTTGTGGGTGGAGAGAGGACACACAAATGCTAATTTACAAAACTTATTAAAATAAATTTGGTACTACTTAAGTATGCTGGTCCACCCATGAAAAGTAGAAAAAGATTATAGACACAGGTTCAGTTTTCACTAGACATACATCCGGTTTACATTTAAGAAAGAAAGTTGACATTTGTCGAGTTCGCACTAAAATTAAATAGGAAGACATTGGTTGAACTTACACTTTAGTCTGCGAGTATTCATTTGGTCAAGAGTCTTACGCTTCCATTTAGAATGCAATCAACATATTCTAAGCCTCATCAAGAGGGCAATAGAGTTAAAAGACAGCAAAAGAAAAGAATATCAAAGAATTTGTTATTTTTGCAGCACTGAGTTGAAAGCTACACAATCTTAATGGCAATAACAATGAAGAATTCAAGCTGATTAAATTGCAAACTATCTTAAAGAAAAAAAAAAATCATCCAATTTCAAACTTACAGGTAAAATTCTGTGTGTCCATTTTGATGAGTACTTGACATTCTCCTCCTTTTCTTTGCAGTTGATTCATTTTCATCATAAAATTCCAAACTGGTGTAGGACAATTTCTCCTGGGGTACACATCCCAATGGACATTTTTCCCAATTGATAGAATCTTTAAAATAAAAAACAAACAAATGAATAAGAATCACTCAAATAATGTAGCAAGTATTTTAAAGTAAAATATATTTAGATTAAAAATAAATAAAATTTAAAGAACAAATATTTTCAGATCTCACACTGATGACAATTTTGGGTATCGTCACAACTGCAGGGGTTATTGGACAATTTTTTCTTCATTCTTATCCTTTTTAAAATTCTTCATCAATGTTTTTGAATGACATGATTATCCGCTTTAAAATTGGGTATGTTTATAATATTCAGTTTCATCTTCAGATATTTTGTTTAGTGGAAAATTAGATTTTGGTTGTATAAAAAACAAAAGAAAACTGGAAGTAAATATTAGATAGGTGTGAAAAATAAATAGAATAATTGAAAATCCTTCATGGGTCATAGATTTTCTTTTGTTTTGAACCAATAAAAATAAAACAAACTGAGAGTGTTGTTTTTGTAGTTTTAGATAAAAGTGGGAAGACTTATATCTAAATAACTTACCAATTCTTTGCAAAGTTGAAAAGAGTGTAACAAATTTTGTTTGTAGCCCAATTTGAGAGCCTCTCTTGATTTAAAAATTTGTAAAATTATCCCAAAAAAAAAAAAAAATCATTAATTTTTTGCTTTCTCAAATTTTAAAAAAATCTAAAAATTCCTATAAATAATTTGCCTACATGTAAAATTTTCAAATGAAAATAAGACAGAAGTACAGTGATTTACAATGGAAGACACAAGTATTTTAGTTCTGAGCTTTATAGTATGATATTTACAGATATATGGCTATGGATGATGTGTTCAAAGGACTGCTTGGTTGATTTTTGTTTAGTGGCATATCAACCTCTATGGGTTATTTAATGCTGAAATCTATTTTGAATACAATTTTATAGAGATAAAATGTATTTGTCTATATTTTTAAGATGAAGTAGTGTAACTATTTAAACTACATTGTTTCAATTGTTGTTCTCATCTTTATTCTCATATTCACGACATTTCCTGAAAAGGCATGCCATGCAGAACTAGAACAATCTACACGTGGACAAAAGGTTTAGTTCGAAATTCCAATGTATACCACCTAAAAAAAAGGCCAGAGCATACAACAGCCGAAATGTCATGAATAAGACAATGAAAATGAGGACAAGAGTCAGAATGATGTAAATAGTGTAAATAAAATGTATTGATGGTATTTTTACTATAAAAATGTATTTTTATATTTTCATAGGGTTTTGTTTTTGTTTGGGAGGTTCACAATTAGCCCATAGCTGGGAGCCTAACAGGTGCTACCACCACAGAACAGGTTGGTCCTGGGAACAACACTCCCCAAAACCTCCAATCTCCCAATCAGAGGCCTTGCTGCTGGATGTAATTTATCATTATACTCAGGACTAGTTTTCAAAGGACACATCAGTATCAGATATAGTTAAATGAAAGCAAAGCATATGATTTACTGACGTGACTTAAGTATGTGTGAGGATTGGCCAAGTCCATGCCAATTCTATACTTCTTTGTTAACATCAAAATAAATATCAACACAATCCAAGATTATTATAATGCTAATAAGTAAGGATGAAATTGATTTCCAAAATGTAGAATGGCAGAAAGGCAACAGAAATAATGCTAAAGAGTAATTCTACAACTGGAAAAAAAAATCAAGTAGAACCAGAGCATAATCCTTATTAGGTCATACTTAAAACACATGTAAACAGCCTTATGGCAAAAGACCAAGAGCACAATCATTGAAAAGTAAATCCTGAAAAGGAATACAATAGAGAAAAAGAGAAAATATTCTAAGCCTGGAAAAAAATTAGCTTGCTACCAGTTTTAATATTACGTATACAGACTAATGTTGCCAGCATGTTACAAACTAAGACTGCATTTCACCACATGAACAGATACATCCCACATCAAAGGGGAGAGTGCCAGAAATAATTAAGGATAGTGTCATGACGAATACTACAACATATAGCATTTCTGCATAAGTAATTTTGTTAGACAATAATGAATAACAGAAATATTTAATTACAAAAAAATGTCTTACCAGTGGAAATATGCCATGATAATGCAACAGGAGGAGGAAGTTCCGTTTTCTCTGAACTTTGAAATTGAAGTACTTCTGCAAAAACAAGAATAAGTTTGAAGTTAAAGATTTAGAAAAAAAAAATGTTTACTTTGGTTTGGTTTATTTTATGGCATATCAACACCTCAATGGGTTATTTAATGCCAACAAGGTATGTACTGCTGGTAATATTTTCTTTTTTCCAAAAATGTAGACCTGGGAACAACAGCAATTAAAAGATGGTTCCACACTCTTCAAAAGTTCCTGATCAGAGGCCTTGCTGCCGGATGTACTTTGTCATAACCAGGACGTGTTTACTTTGGCACAAGGCTACAGTAGTGGGTCATTTAGTAAGGAACAAACTCATTATTTTAAGGAATTGGTTCAGCTTACTAAACTTTGTGCTATAGCAGCAAAATAATGGAAAATGTTTCTGTGACAGAATTAGAATTTATTTTAATACCATATACCTGCAGGAAATAGGCAAACATGGCTATCCACGGATTCCTTTTCTTTATGATCTGTGAATTGCTGTAACTTCTTAGGAAAAATAGTGAAGTGACTGTTTCTTTCTCCATGGTTTTGAGTTTAGAGTAGCCTTTCTTCTAGATTGATTGCCTTTGTGGCAGCTAGTCTAGGAATGACAAAAAGTGACTCATTGATTGATTTGCTTTTCACATTTTATCAACTCCTTTGTCATTTATTTAAAGCTGAAACAAATTTCAGAGTGTAAGAGTAATAGTTTTTTTTTTTTTGCGAGTGAATGTTGCATTGACAATTTTTCTGAGAATAACAATGATTTTCCCCAGATACAAGTCCTACTATCTTTCCCATAGCTTTTTTTGGGGGGTGGGGGTGGAAAATATGGATTCATACCCTTTCCAAGTGTATTTGCATAAGTGAATGTAACAAACCTGACTGGAATTTGAACCTGACTCTTTCATTGTTACATTTCAAGGCATTTTCCATTAGGCCACTTGCACAACATTCAAACCAAAGAGCCACTCTTTTTGCTTACAAAGGGAAGGCTGTAGGGGCTTAATATATAATTTCCAGGAGTGTAAATGGAATTCTGAATGTGCCTTACTGTGAACAAAAAAACATACTTTTGGTATAGGACAAGCTATGTGTAGGATTTGTTAATAGGTGCTCAGTTATCCTGTGGAGGCATGGTAGGGTAATGGATAGAGTTCATTGCATTCACTTACATGCTAATACCCTTGTGAAAAGTATGAAGCCATATCTTCCCTTAGTTATAGGTAATTAGCAGGTCAGATTTGGCCATATAACCTTGGTAGGCAACCAGTCTAGAAGAAGGAAAACTCTGAATTCAAACCAGCTTCGAAAAATCCAATTACCTGCTGCCTCATAGGTCCTGACTCTTTAGGTAAAGGCTAGGAGGTAACTTCAAAAACAAATCCACCTTAAGAATTAGCCTTGGATGGCAACCAGTCTAGGAGACAGAAACACTGAATTCAAAACCACCTGCTGCCTTGTGGTTCCTGCCTCTTTAGGCAAAGGCTAGAAGGAAGTAACTTAAAAAATAAAGCCACCTTGCATGTCATCTTGAAGAAAGAAACTGACTCCCGCTCCTCCTACTTTGAGCTGCGACAGAAAATAATAGATACTGCAGGCTTGGTACAATGGTCTGAACAAACACTAAACTGGGACATGGCAGATTTCAGACCATTCATCCATGGGTTTATCAACTATGGTACTTTAGATGGCGATGATAACACTCAGTTATCACGGACCAGGATGTATTGATGACTTACGCAAATTATGACATTCCCTGTTGTTTCTGCTTTTATAATGTGACAAACGGCAAAGTTACATACCGTCAACTGTGTGAAAAGATGTTTGGTTTTCATTTTGTCGTGTGTCATTTTCACGGAGGCAATTTTCAAACGAGGAGGGGATTAAATCTTGGGACAAATAAATGTTGATTAATTCCAACAAATGACTCCGTTGAGAATCCATCAAATGACCTTTTCCTTCATTAAGCATCCTGAAACATAAAAAAAGACAACCTTTTACTTTTTTTATGGCTACCATTCATAAACTTGAATGACAAAACTACTTTAAGCTGATGTGATTGTCTCAAATTCTAAGCTGAAATGATTTTGCCATCCATTTTTGATTTAGCACAAAAAAAAAAAAAAAAAAAAAAAAAAATCACTGTGCCTTTTATGTTTTGCATAACCAGCAAGATATAATTTTTTTGTCTTAACTAAACATAATGTAAATTTAGGTCAAATTAAAACAAGGTCACACTACAACACTTGTACCTGTGGAATAGATTAATAGAAACACAAATATTAAATTGGAATAAAACTATTTGATCAGACATTGTTTGAAATAAAAGGTCGGACTACAGTCTCTTAATACTTAGGCAATTTTTTGGGATCACTTAGGCTTGCTACTGGTAACAATTTGTTGCATGGACAGGTGGCTGGCATCTAAATCACCTCACCCAGTAACTTTTTTGATGGTGAAGAGGGTGGCATGTCATCCCAGAGGAAGAAAAACAAAACTTATTAAAGAGTAGATGAGTTTCTTGCCAATGCCCAACAGACACACTACCTATCCCCCCCATCTCTCTCTCATATATATAACATGTTTTGTTGAATAATATATAATATAGACATATTGTGTCTATTTATTTTTATATTGATCATTTCAAGTTGTCTAATTAGTTTCTTAATATTGAGATGAAATTCATAAAGTAAGACGCCATAGTTTTTTGTAAACCAAAGTACTTTTGACCTTTCCTAAGATTATTTTCAGAGGTAAATTACAAAGACAAACATGTTATTATAACTGTGATAAACTGAAAGACACACTTAAATGTGTACCTGTGTGGTTATGGTAATTTTTTTTAAAAACATCTGCATATTTGTCTTTGTAATGTACCCCTGAAAATAATCTTAGAAAAGGTCAAAAGCACTTTGGTTTAAAAAAAAAAAAAAAAAAAAAAAAAAAAGGCGCCTTCTTTGATGGATTTCTCAATATGAAGAAACTAACCAGACAACTTGAAATTATCAATATAAAAATAAGTAGACACAATATGTCTATATTTTTCAACAAAACATGTTTAAATGAAAATATGTTTTGTGTGTGTGTGTGTGTGTATATATATATATATATATTATAAATTAATTGATTTAAAATATGGTTATTTTCGCTACACAGTTCCAACCATGTTTCAAAAATAGAAGCTAAAAACCCCTAATTTTATTTTTGCAAATAAATTAAAAGCATTAGTTCTATTTCATCTTCAAGCGAATTTTGGAGTAACTTTTAAAATTTACCGGGTTTTAAATACACAGCTAAAATCACGTTTCCATGGTTACAGAATATTCTACTCAAATTGAACACGGGGTGTCTAGATTTTCCTTATGACAGTATCATTGTATCAGTTATTAGCTACATTTTGGTAAGGGGTGAGGATGTATTTTACACTGAAACCTGACGTCGGTTGAATGGATGTCGTCTGAATTCAAAAAAAAAAAAAAAAAAATTGTTAACGGTAAAAATTTTCAACGTCATCTTTTAAAATTAAAGATTTTTTTACAATACTTTTTTATTTAACTACGATTTGAAATATTTTCCTTTTTAATTTTTATTTTACTATATTCTTTTTAAGAACAGTTAAATGTATTAGAATCCATTATATTATGTAGGATTATTTTAACATTAAGTTTAAGTATGTATATGAGGTTACATTTTTTTTTTTTTTTTTTGTATATGACTATGACAGCAGAAATGGTTACTTAATTTCACTGATTCAGTAAACTTTTCTTTTATATATAAACCTATTATAATATTTCACATGTAAGTACTGAGGACATGGGTTATTCAAAAGCTTACATGTTATGGTATTTCATATTAATTTTATTTTACTATAGGTGTTATTTTTGGATTCTTTTTAATGCGTGTAGTATTATTTAAAAAAGAAATTTAGGTTAGAATTCATTCAATTTAACTACAATTTTAATTACAAATTCAAAATTACAACTTTAAAATTTTAAAATATTTTCATTGTTTAGTTTTAATAGACTATATTACTTTATAACAGAAGGAAAATTACTCATATTAAGTAAGATTATTTTTCCATATCAAAGTATATGTAAATTTTTTTTTTTTTTTCTTTTTTTTTTCCCTTTCTTCCTTTTAAATTTAAATATTATTTAAGTAATATTAATGGCACTTACTACAAAAGTAGCTAAGTCATTTCTCAGATTTAGTAAACTTTATTTATTTATTAATTAATTAATTTATTTATTTCAAATATATGTAACCTAATTAATAAAGTTTCATATGTATGTATAAATAACATGTTAGAATTCATTTTATTTTACTACAATTTTAATTTCAATTTTAAAATTTTAAAATTATAACTTTAAAATTTTAAAATATTTTCATTGTTAGTTTTAATTTAGACTATATTACTTTATAACAGAAGGATAATTACTCATAGTAAGTAAAAATTTTTTTCCTATCAAAGTATATGTAAATTACAATTTTTAAACTTTTAATTTAGATATTATTTAAGTAATATTAATGGCCCAGACTACAAAACTATCTAAGTCATTTCTCAGAATTAGTAAACTTTATGTATTAATTCAAGTTTAAGTATGTATATGAGGTTACATTTTTTTTTTTTTTTTTTTTTTTATATATATATATATATAAACCTAGTGATATAATGTTTCTCATGTAAGTACAAAGGACATGGGTCATTCAAAAGCTTACATCTTATGGCATTTCATATTAATTTTATTTTACTATATTTGCTTTTTTGGGATTCTTTTTTAGTGCGTGTAGTATTATTTAAAAGAAACTTAGGTTAGAATTCATTCAATTTAACTTTAATTTTAGTTTCAATTTTAAAATTACAAACTTTAAACTTTTGAAATATTTTCATTGTTAGTTATATTAGACTATATTACTTTATAACAGAAGGAATATTACTCATAGTAAGTAAAATTATTTTTCAATATCCAAGTATATGTAAATTACAATTTTTTTAACCTTTATATTTTAAAATATTATTTTAGTAATATTAATGGAACTTACTACAAAATTAGCCAAGTCATTTCTCGGATTTAGTAAACTTTATTTATTACTTAATTTATTTATTTATTTTAAATATATGTAACCTAAGTAGTAAAGTTTCATATGTATGTACCAAGAACAGGTTAGAATTCATTTTATTTAACTACAATTTTAATTACAATTTTAAAATTACCACATTAAAATTTTAAAATATTTTCATTGTTAGTTTTAATTGACTATATTACTTTATAACAGAAGGATAATTACTCATAGTAAGTATAATTATTTTCCATAACAAAGTATATGTAAATTACAATTTTAAACTATTATATTTAAATATTTAAGTAATATAAATGGCACAGACTACAAAACTATCTAAGTCATTTCTCAGATTTAGTAAACTTTATGTATTAATTAATTAAATTATTTATTTTAAATATATGTAACCTGAGTAATAAAGTTTCATATGTATGTACAAAGAACAATGGGTCATACATTACCTTACATCATCTAGCTTTAGTTATAATTTCATTTTTCAGGAGGTGTTTTATCGATTCATTCAAGTGTTTGTAGTACATTTATTATAGAGGTGTTTCAATTTAGGATACATTTTATTTAACTACAATTTTTTAAACGGTGTTTATGTTTTAATACGTTTTAACCACAATTTTAAAATTTTAAATAACAGTTTAAAACATTTTTCCTGCCATTCCAATAGACTTTTTTTTTTTTTATATATTATTTAAGGAAAATTTTTGACAATGACGGCATATAATAGCTATTTCATTTCTCTGATTCAGTAAATTTTTATTTTTTATAAACTTAGTAATATATAGTTTCTCTTGTATACATAGAGGACACGGGTTGTTTAATGATCTACAAATTCTAGCTCTTCTTATTAACTTCCATTTTACTGTAGGTGTTTTATTTGATTCTTTTAGATGTCAGAAATATTTTGAGAGAGATGTTTGATTTTTATATTTATTTATTCTAAATGAAGTTTGATGTTGGTTGAATCTTTTTTGAATTCATGGCTAGTGCAACCTATATATATTTTTATGTTATCAGGATTTTCAATCGAAGAGATATTGCATTGGTATACTAATGATTCAGTGCAACATTTATTTTGTAGTGGGCAATTTTGAGGGTTTCGACAATTACATAGTTTTTTTGTTTATTTACATCAGTTTTTATCTTAATTTTTCTATTGTCTAAATTTTTTTTGGTTTTGGTATAAGTGTTTATTTAAGATATTAGCATTATGGTTCTTAATGATTTTTTTCTAAGTTCTTTGTACAGCTATAACTTAATTTTTAGTGTGTTTTTATTGAAAATAGTACTTAGTTTATTTTCACAAAGGAAATGCTTGACTATTAATGTGAGGAATTTATGTCCTAATCTGTTCTTTACCATTTGGTTATATGGGGAGTATACCAAATAATTTTTCTACATCTGTTTTTTTCTGTTTTCCATTTTCATTTTTTATATACGCTAGTTTTGGGTTTTTGTAGCCACTATCTTTTAGAGCCTTATTATAGCCATTGATATGCTCATCAAAAAATCTTGTTATTAGCTGAATTTGTACTAATTGCTTACTTATAGATAACGGTATATGTTTAATTATAGATGGGGGTGATTTGATTTAGGATGTATATATAAAGGATTGATTGGTGTTGGGTTTTTTATAAGGTGTGTATGTATTTTTATTTAGATCTAAAGTTATATCTAGGAAGTCTACTTTTTTAATTTAGTACTAACTGTAATTTTTAAGCCCATGCTTTTAAATTCTTTATATAATAACTTTCTAATTCTATCTATTTTGAAGTTCGTTGAGTTTCTAATGACCATTAGCCCATCGTCCCTGTACAAACCAATATCATCTGTATTAATTTCATAGTGTGCTGTAAGATTGTATAATATAAAGAGGCCAATGAGATCAGAAGACTCAGCTGAGTCTAGTGATCCCATTGTGATGTCAAATTTGTCGTAAGAATTCTTAACCCATTCCTCACCTTTATGTATAAGTACTGATTTTTTTGCTAACAGAATAATGTTCCTTTCTTCTTCTGTAATATCCGTAAAGGAAAATATTTCAAATCGTAGTTAAATAAAAAAGTATTGTAAAAAAATCTTTAATTTTAAAAGATGACGTTGAAAAATTTTTTTTAATTTTTTTTTTTTTTTTTTTTTGAATTCAGACGACATCCATTCAACCGACGTCAGGTTTCAGTGTAAAATACATCCTCACCCCTTACCAAAATGTAGCTAATAACTGATACAATGATACTGTCATAAGGAAAATCTAGACACCCGTGTTCAATTTGAGTAGAATATTCTGTAACCATGGAAACGTGATTTTAGCTGTGTATTTAAAACCGGTAAATTTTAAAAGTTACTCCAAAATTCGCTTGAAGATGAAATAGAACTAATGCTTTTAATTTATTTGCAAAAAAAAAATTAGGGTTTTTAGCTTCTATTTTTGAAACATGGTTGGAACTGTGTAGCGAAAAATAACCATATTTTAAATCAATTAATTTATAATATTAATGCTCTGTAAATTTACATTGAGCACTATTTTGTAAAAAATAAAATATCTATAAGAACACCGGATTTTATATCTTACTGTTCTTTCTTTTTATTTATATACATATATATATATATATATATATATATATATATATATATATATATATATATATATTCTGTTTGCGTTATGTTATTTTTATAGATACAAATATTTAAGTAAATACTCTGTTTATAATAAACAGTAATAACTAGATTTACCAGCCTGAATGTCAGAGAAACTCCATAGGAAATATGTGTCCTCCGACAGGAATTGAACCTGTATCCTACAGGGAACTGTCATATAGCCTGACATGCAATACCATTTAGCTACAGAGGAAGTGTCTGGTTAGCAAAATCAAATTACTGTTTTACAACAAATTTCCCATGATTTTTCTTGAACATTCATATCTGCTCAAAGTGTATTGTAACATAAACATATAAACAGAAAATATATTAAAATAATTGTTGGACTCAGTCCATTTCATTATATATATATATATATATATATATATATACACACACACACATGCATGGCCTGAAGATTGCATTTAAGCAGGAAACAGACTGTAACCACTTGCTGACCTCAGTGTTCACTTTTATATTTTTCACACATGCTCTATCCCTGATATTGAGCATGTTTACCCATAAATATAGCATACCTTACAACTATAACAGCTCTCCCATTATGTCTCTCTCTCTCTCTCTCTGATCAAATGTTTATGCAAGGTATTAATGACAAATACAACAAAATAGCTTTTTGAAAATTTGATCAATTTGTTTATTTATGGCCTATCAACCCTATGCGGGTTATTTAAAGCCAGAAAATAATTTTTAAATTTGTATGAATTTTTGGGAGATGATAATGAGTTACTGGTACAAGTCCAACTGATTAACCCATAACTAGGGGGAGAAGAGGTGGATTCATACCATTCCAAAGAGTATTTGTGCACAAGTGAATATAACAAATGTGACTGGAATTGGAACTTGGATTTCCAATTTCCAAGCTGTTATCCATTACACCACCTGCACATCCAAGGTTACGGCACCTGGTATTCTCAAGTGGTCACCCATCTAGATACTGACTAGGCTCGACGTTGCTTAACTTTGATTTCTCATTCAGAGATATTATCCATTACACCACTTGCACATTTAAGCATACGGCATCTGGTATTCTCAAGTGGTCACCCATCTAGGTACTGACCAGGCTTGACATGGCTTAACTTTGATTACTGATTCAGAGATATTATCCATTACTTCACCTGCACATCCAAGCTTACTGCACCTAGTATTCCAAAGCGGTCACCCATCTAAGTACTAACCAGGCTTGATAGGTGCTGGCTGAATGTTAGCAGTGTGAGTCCTGGAGACAACAGCATATCCTTCTGTAGTCTCTTGGCAAATCAATAAATAAGACATGCCGATACCTGCTCATGATACAAAGCAAAGAAAAGACGGGAATAAATGGGTTTTTACTTACCATAAAACCAAGTGGAGGGTGTATTTTTTCGGCACTCTGATAGCCTGTTCAATGAGAGTCTGCCACGCCACAGTACAACGTTTATCATACAAAAAATGTTTATCCTCATTCATTTGATCTGTTAGGAAAGAAAAAAGGAGACGGGTAAGAAATCATGTAAATAATCATTTTCTATTAGTAACAGTTTATATACTTGACACCCTATCTTCCTGGAGTCATTTTAAACTGATCCTCCATTATTATTACCTATATTTTTCTTTAATAAGATTTCTGGAATATTCAGGTCAGTAAATGAAAATAAATATACTGTTTAATAAAAATACCAAGTGTCTACGCAAATAAAAAACGTTTAAAGTGATAAAAAAAATCTGAGATTAATAAATAAAAAAAAATATATTACGTTTTTCAGAAACTGCTTTATTTACATTTGGATATGAAACTGTAGAAATATGAAAATTTTAAGATGATTTTACTTAAAGGCATTATTTAGCCTTGCTTGATCGCCAAAGGCTTCTTTGTGATCGAGTTGGTTAAAACATGTCAAATCTAACGATATCTCCCTCTACTCAGGGGGATGCAGTTTCGAATTCTACCAAAGAGCATATATTTTTCTTTACTAAAATTTCTGAAATATTCAGGCCTGTAGTCGAAAATAAATAAATGTAGCATCTACTGAAATATGAGTATCCGTTAAAAATAACATTTCAATTGATAAAATCTGTTGAATTAATAAATAAAAAAATTCCATTACTTTCTTTAGAAATTACATATTCTTATACAAATTACTTTTGCTACAATTATTCATTTCTGCAAGATTTTGCCAGTATTATCACATACTTTATGATTTCCAATCTACTCATCTCAAAACCACAAATCTATTCCTGGAAATTAAATATCCATGTCACTTGGCCATTTTTCTGTTTTCATTTCAAAAGAAAAACTTTCAACTCATATAAGTATCTAAATTGCTTAACTTGGCTCTTTGAACTATTTTTTTATTTATTTTATATCTGTTCTATGCATTGTTAATCTTTTATCCAAACCCCTAGACTTAAGCTAAAAACTTCTACGAGCTGTCCTTGAAGAAATTTTCCCTTACTGATCCTGTAACAACATAAACATTAACTTTTTACAATTTTTTTATGACTTTATTACAAACTTTAAGCAAAACGATCATAAAATATGTAAAAAAATAAAAAAAAAAAAAATTCTTGAAAATCAAACCAGAAAGATATGACATTAATGGAGAGTTTCTTTTTCTAAATATCTAAACTATAATTATAAACTACAATTTTTAAAGCAAAAATTTCATTGAAATAGGTTGGGAAATTTCATGTGAAATCAAAAAAATACAAATTTTAAGCAAAATGATCATAAAAAAAAAAAAAAGGCATCAGCTTAAAATCACACCAGAAAGATATGGCTTTAACAGAGACCTTTTATTTTTCATATAACTATAATTTAATAATACCCTCAAATATGACACTTGTCCATGTGATAACCAAAAGTTAAGCAAGTCATTCTTAAGCAATTAATAGATATTTTAAAAAATCCATCATTATTTTTTATTTCTGCATTTGATAACTCCTGAGAAACATATTTCCCTTATTAAGACTTTCAATTGTACAAACTGGTAAATTTCACATTTTCACTTAAGAAAACAAACTGGACATCTACTCAAGCATGTGTAACCACTAATTATAACATTTATAGTAATAACAAACAATACCAGAATAAAAAAAAAAAAAAAAAAAAAAATCCGTTAATTTAAAATTACTCTGTGTTTTAGGTACAAAATAAAAGCAGTTACACATTTTGAAAGATCCTGATGAGAGATGTTCATTCTTTAAATAGGGTAATTGAATCTTGCTTTGCTGTGATGGCCTCCCATGGTCTAATGGTAAGGTACACCTAGCTTAAAATTGGTTCTTCTGATTGAAAAAGGGAATAAATGCTCAATTTCTATTGGAAGGCACAGTTTTTCTTTAGTAGGACTTCTCAATCTCTAGGCTAGTAGATATTAATTTCACAGTCTGAAGAAAAGAAAAAAAAAAAAGAAGGTTCACCTACTCAAGCCTGTGTACCCACTGAATATAAAGTTTATAATAACAAAAACTCTGGTAGTATAAATATTGTGTTATTGATATTTATTTGATTCAGTGTAGGCACGGGTGGAATAATGGATAGTGGCTTAGGGTTGAGGGATCAGAGAACAGAGTTTGAATTCTAGTCAAGTGTATTACATTCACTTAAATCATTTCACCCCAAGCAAGGCGGGAATGCCATTAGTATGCAGGGGATTACCGAGTGTACAGGAGAGAGAAAAGACTGGGTATAGAGGGGACCAAGGAAAGGATAAAAGCTGAACAGGGTTCAAGAAAACAGCAGATGGCAATTGACGTTGGATCTAAATTTTTGAAGACTGTAGTTATCAGGGAAGCAAGGAAAAAGAAATGAGGTCCAAAGGCAGGAAGTAGGAGAAAAAATACTGTTGCAGTAGAAGCGGTGGTCACATCTACCTAATTCAACAGTAAAAGGGTGGGACCTAGATGCCAATCTAGTAGCACACTTAAACACATATAGTCCTTATGTGCAAATAACTTTGGAAAATGTATGAATCCATCTCTTCTCTCCCAGCCATATGTAGATAGCAGGACAGACTGGGTCCTATAGCCTTGGATGGCAATCAGTTTAGGAAAAAACAAATTCAAATCTTCCAACTATGGATTAAATAGCAAGTAGACAGGGAGGTGTTCGTGCAACAGGAGTGAAGGCTCTGGGTTTGGATCCAGTGCACTTTCAGTATTATTAGGAAGTATTATATTTACAAAATTTAGCATTTCACAAATGTAAGGCACTTAGTGAGAATCCACTTCAGTTATAATGTTATTTACCAAGTGTACAACATTTAAAAAAAGAAGATCTCATTTGAGAAATGCAGAAAAATGTTCCTTACTTGCTTGATGAATGTTGAAAAGGATTGTCATCAACCAGCCTGCAATTAAGCGGGCAGGCAAGGGGGCCAGTTCCTCCCCACACACACAGTCCATCAATCGTTTGATCAGCAGAGGTGTAAATTTGATTTCATGCAGGATGTTCAGCAAGGGCTTCCAAAATGTCACCAGGTTCTCCGGCAGCCACAACCCATTTTCAGATATTAAATCTAGACAAATTTTAAAGACATTTAGAGAGATGAACAACGAACTGACTTTTTTTTTTTCTTTTAACTTAAAATACTTTGAAAGTGAAATAGTTAATTAAACTTTAAGACAAGGTGTGAACCAAATACAAAACATTTTATTGGGTCCAGAGACCATGTGGAATATGATATTAATAAATAATATTTAATAATAATAACATTAAATAATATTTATATTTCTTCTTCAATATTATTAATAAAATGTCTTGCTCATGTTCATGTATCTAATATATCTAAGTATGAATGAAATTTTACTATATACAATATATGTATAAAAATGTTAAAACTTATTTTAAAAAATATTAAAAATAGTTAAGATATTGAAAAACTATTGACAATAAAAGAGAAAATATTTAAAATAAGATGTTGAAAAAAATATCTAAAATAGCTGAAATATTGAACACAAATATTTAAAACAGTTGAAATATTGAACAAAAAAAATATTGTAAAATATTTAAAAAATAGTTACTAATCCTAATGAAAGATGACAATCAGATGATGTAAAATAACCTTTGAAAAATATTTAGAGGTAAAGTTTCTACTTTAAAATCTTTTGCCTAACAATTTCAACATAAATATATGTAAGAAGTCAGTCATAATGAAAAAAAGTTGTAGTTACAGTCAAAGTTGAAGATGAAGCATTCTTAATCTGCATACAGTTTCGTTTTATCTGATCAACATTTATAGTCAATTTTGAAAATCGGAATCATGAATTTTGAAGCAATGTTTGACTGATATGAGAAAACATCTTCAAAGAAGAAGCATACTAAATATTCATATTGATCAAAAATTACAGTTGGGTAAAAAAAACTAATAATATCAAAAACAAAAAAAATACCATCAATTTTGATGGCCTGAGTAAACTTGTATTTGCTTTCATATATTTACAGCGTGTTTGAATTTGTCAAATGATTCTGGAGGAAAATAATTTGCAATGAATTTCTATCATTGCTTTTAGTGTCACTTGATATACAATCATTTGAATGAATGAAAATATTTTCATATTTTTTTTAAGAAGTAATTGTAATGAGTTTCTGTAAATGCTTTTAGTATTTATTTTGGGGGAATTGAATGACAAAATAGAAAAAATTCAATGTTTTTTTTCTTTTTTTTTTTTACTCATAGCAGTTGACCATCGTCAAGATCATTGAATCAATGTGAATGATCCTTTCCTTAGCTACATACTATGTGCTTCACCAGAGCTATATACAGCTTTGAATGCAGAGGTTTTCTTCTCCTATGACTCTATACCATGTGTCCAATGAGTTTAACCTCCTTGATATTACTATAGCCTGTTGGCACTCTTACCCTAGTCTGCTATTGGAACATTCTGTGAATATACATTTTTTTTAATATTTTATGATACTTTATTTACAAGCAGTGTGTAATCTATAAATTTAATTAAGTGATGACACACTGGAATTTAGTTCACCGTCTGGCATAGATAACCTTCCTCTGGAGTTAGCATAGGCTGATGAAAACCCTAATGTTGCATGACAAATTTTTGAGACTTATTTAAAAAAACCCCAAAAAACAAAAACAAACTACGTCCTTGACGCCTGCAAATACAGTACCTTTCTCTAGTTTTCACCTAAAGAGTCAGGGCCTACAAGGTAGCAAGAGGTTCATATTCAGAGTTTCCTTCTCCTAGAGTGGTTGCCAACCAAGGCTATAAGGACCAGTCTGTCTTGCAATAGCTAGGAGGAGAAGTGATGGATTCATCCCTTTCCCATGAGTATTAATATGTAAGTGAATGAAATGGTGGTGGAGAAGAAGCAGCAGCAGGAAACAAAGACGACGATGCAAGAAACAAAGAAGAAGAAGCGGGAAACGCAAAAGAAAAAGGGAACGCAAAAGAAGAAGAAGAAGAAGAAGCGGGAAATGCCAAAGAAGAAGAAGCAGGAAACGCCAAAGAAGAAGAAGCAGGAAACGCCAAAGAAGAAGCAGAAAAAGCAGGAATAACCTTTCTCTGGGGTTATCATAGGCCTATGTAAATCCTAACCTTTGTCCTCAATGATGCACAACAAATTTTCGAGACTCATTTTAAAAAAAAAAAAAAAAAAAAAAAACTGTCTTTGACACCAGCAAATATGGCAATTTCAGCATCCAGCTTAGTAGGAGTTGATTAAACTAAAGGCATGAAGCTTATTAATTATTAAATTCATAGGGTGGAGCCAAATTTGTGGCCTATAATGGAATTTAAGAGTCAATTGTTAAAAGAGTGAAATCATTAGTGCTCACCTTCAGGGTTGATATGCAGAGCTTTTAATTGTTCAACATTTGGGACAAGATAGCCTTCCTCAAGCAGCACAGATAAAATATCAGAGCTGAAAAAAATATTGTATAAAATAATAATGCTTTCAACTGTACAGTGTCTTTAAAAATATAATGTATGTTGATGATAAACATAAATTATTAACATTTGGAAAAATGTTCATGAAAGTATGTTTCAAAAATAATATCTGATAATGGATTTCACTTCCATGAATGTTTTTACAAATGTCATTAACTCATAACTGTCAGGATTACATACCCAAATATATATATATATATATATGTGCATTTCACTGAATATGACAGATAAGCAAAATTTGATTAATTTTTTTATTTAGTTTTTTTCCAGCAGTCTTACATTTTTCTGTTTGGTGGGAGTAAGGGAGTGAAAAAATTGTCTGTATTGTAAATTGTCCCAAGTGCTTTTGGCCACTTCTTTAGTCATCTGGCCGAAAGCGCTTGTGACAATCTACAATACAGACAATTTTTGCAGTCCTTTACTCCCAGCAAACAGAAAAATGTGAGAATATTAGAAAAATAAAAGATTAATCAAATTTTCTTTTCTGTCACATTCAATGAAACATGTTTAAAAAGAAAGGTTGCTGCCCAAATATACATTAATCTAAGTATAGATTATATATATAAATCTAAATGATATCAGCTAGATTATATACTCTAAGATCTGTCTATTCCAACCAATGAAAACTATGCCAGCCTTATTCAACCCTGGTTGAAGTAGATCTACCACCCCCACCCCATATGAGGTAATTTTGAATTTTGTTGTGTAATACTCTTTATTGGCTCTGTTATAATAAAAACATTGAGCTTCTTCTGTGGATCAGTTTTAATATTCTATATTACTAATATCCACTTGGATTATATACCAACAATTTTATTAGCTGTACTAAAGATTCCCAGTGTGCATATGTGTAGTGGCAGCAACATAAACTTAGTCTGATGATGTCCTAAAGAACGAAACATGCCCCACGAAACCTTTCTCATATATATTTCTCCTAAAATTGTTCTAGATACATAAAAAATTTACATATCATTATTCCATGTGTGTGTGTGTGTGTGTGTGTGTGTGTGTGTGTGTATATATATATATATATATAAATAAAATGAAATAGACTAAGTCTGACATTATTTTAATATATTTTCTGTTTATACGTTATTTTTATAGATACAATTATTTAAGTAAATGTTTTGTTTATAATAAACACTATTAACTACATTTATCAGCCTGAATGTCTAAGAAATTTTGTAGAAAACATGTGTCCTTTGGTAAATGCAGTTAAAACTTTATTATAAACAGAGCATTTGCTTTAATATATTAAAATAATTGTTGGACTTAGTAAATTTCATTATATATATATATATATATATATATATATATATATATATAGCCTCTCACTACTCTCCTGCTACTTCCAAGGAAAGTGCTTGGATGAACTACATTCCCTGATCCTACTGAGGCAAACGATCACAGCAAGAATGTGCCATGCTACTTACATAATGACAAACCACCTACATTCTCTCCATATCCCATCAAAAAGTAAGTTCCACCCAAACAGCTTCTTCCTGCAAATCACTGTCCTGTGGAACTGACTCCCAACAGGATATTTCCTAAATCACTACAATCTCAACCTGTTTAAGGCTAGGGTTAACTGTTATCTTCCACTCCAATACACACAAATCACCTCCAAATGTAACTACTCCGAGTGGTCTCTTGTCCTTGTTAAGGGTGAACCTTGCTGCAAAATATATATTTGTATTTTTTTTTCCAGTTTTTCTAGTGTTCTTAAAGTTTCAGGAGGATGAAGAGAGTGCAGAAACTGTCCATCATGATTATTGTCATAAATGCTTTTGGCTCATTCTTTTGCCATTTTGAAAGGATTGTTGGCTATAGATTTTTTTGTGTTTTGTATACTAAACTGTGTTGTATAGAAATAGCATTAAATCTATAAGTTGTATTTTATATAGTACTAAAACCCCAACCTACCCTTGCTAAATTCTATTCTTACTGGTTATTCTTTGGTTATTTCCTAGTTAAATTTGTGCTACGTATTTTTTTTTTTTTTGTATGGTGTTGGAAACCGGTCAAAAATTCTTTCTCATGAATTATTATCTCCCCTTTTCCAGGATGATCTTTTGCAGTAAATACAAAGGGAGGTAATTAAGAAACAACTATTCACATAACTAACCTGCTTTGTCCTGCAATAAAATGTTCACATGTTAACAACAATGAAGATGAGCACCCCAACAAAAAGAATTCATTAAATATTAATCCAGCCTAAAGTTGTTTTTGTTTAGCGCATATCAACTTCTATGCGTTATTTAATGCTGAAATCTAAATATTTTGAGCACAATTTTATTTTTTGGGAGATAATAATAGTTTTAGTGATAAAAGTCTTGCTAATTAATACTTAGCTTGGGGTCATTTGCGTCTAAGTAAATATAATGAATAGAACTGGTATTCAGCTTCCTGATTAACAATTCTAAACCATTATCCACTACATAATCTGCAAATCCAAGATTTCAGCAAGTTCTTTGCATTTAGAAGATTCATGCAACACTACTTATTCCTCCAAAATTAATTTTGTTTCAGATCATGTTAATATCTTTTGCTATAAGCCAAACCTCAATCGGTTAATTAATGCTGAGAATATTTTTATTGTTAATAACATTTTTTTTTCAAAAATGTACTACTGGTAATAATTTTTTCCTTACAAAATTGTATTGCTGGTATTTTTTTTCCAAAATTCATTATTGGTAATAATTTTTTCCAAAAATGCATTGCTGGTATTAAAACCTATTTTCACACTTTCATAGTGTTTTGACCCCAGTTTTAGGGGATTAACTATTTTCCCATAGCTGGGACCCTAACAAGTGCTACCACCTTGGGTCAGGGTGGACCTGGGAACATCAGCAATTAAGAGGTGGTTCCATGCTCCTCAAAACCTCCTGATCAGAGGATGTAGTTGATCGTCTTACTTAGGATGGTATTCTATTTTGATTGTGTGAGAAGATAAAAAAGACATATGAAAGATGCAGCTTGGTTTCAGTGAGAAAAGTAAAGAAAGAAGTGAAGATAGAAATGTTTAACGTCTATTTCAGTGAAATGGAAAAAAATTGTCAATTACAAATCTTTTCATTTGTACCCCCTTACTTCTTAGAATAATGACCAGCATTCATATTTATGATTGTTAAATTTTGTTAATGTTGTTAATCTCAAATATTTAACAATGCGATAGGGGAATTTCTACAGATATTTTATTGCCGTGGAATCCGCCATGAGCTTATTCAATCATTAACTGAAGAATTAAGATTCATTAGATCATTAAAATAAGAGAACCATGAAATTTTCACATGTTAAAACTAGTTACAAGTTGTAGCGGACGACGTTTGAATTGTTGTTACCTCAATCCTGTTAATACTAATTTCATTTCATCCAATAATTTTTTTAGGTTCTTTTTTTTCATCCATTTTGTTGTTTGCAACATCTGCAAAGAGGAAAAGAAAACATCAATAAGAAACATCTGTCTATATTTCTGAGATGAAGCATTGTAAATATTTGCATTGTTTGGACTGCTGTCCTCATCTTTATTGTCATATTCATGATGTTTTGGCCAGTGTACACCTTCTTCTGGTGATATATGTTGGAATTTCAAAATGAACTCTTTATTTGTCCCCAAGGACATATGGTCCAGTGGATAAAAGTGTTGGTGGAAGTAATCTAGTGACTTAATGCAAAGAGTTGTGAGTTCAATACCTGGCCACAGCAGAGGTGAACAAAAAGCTTGGAAAGTTGAGTTACTAAAGGGAATTAACTGAAACCGAGATATTCAGATAAGGCATGGTATGTGGAAGTAGAACAATCTACCCTGGTGGATGAAATAAAAGGTTCGGTTCAAAATTCCAACATATATCACCTGAAGAAAGCCGGATTGTACAATGACTGAAACGTTGCGAATATGACAATAAAGATGAAGATAACGGTCTGAACAATGTAAATAGTGCAAATCAATAAAGAAATTAATGTCTCTAAAACAACATTTGATCAAAGCTTGCCAGATCTGTGTAAACTCCATGGGCATTGAAAACTAAGATCATCCTTGTTTTTCTCTCGCATTTTGTATCTTCTCATTCTGCCCCTTATCCTTTTCAATCTTCATTGCCTGTCCCGGTTTTTGTGTAAATGTTATACAAACGTGGTTTAATTTTTGTCTGAATGACTGGAATGAAAAGTTATAAATTGAACTAATTACTGGTTTTTGATAAGTAATATTCAAATGCAATTTACATATATGTTTTTATATATGTTCTGGCAATCTGTAATTACTTTCTGAACATCCTAATATTCCAGTTACATTTGCTTTATTGAACATAATTCCCCTCCAAACAACCCAATATATACGAAGTATGTGATGGAATGGTCAATGAAAATTCATGAGCCGGTAATGCTTATTGGTACCCAGCATCCTTAGTTAGTCTAACTTACCTATAGCCTTTGTGCACTCAAATTATCTTCCATTATCGCACAAAGCTTTTTGAATTGTTCTGTTGGAATGGCTCTGCAATCTTTACAAAGTATGACAAATTCAAGTCACAAACCTGCATCAAATGATACATGAACCTTGTATTTTAGTGACTTTGTTGCCTAGCTTGGAGTGAAATGATTAAAAAAAAAAAAAAAAATCGTGGAAATGAAATTTTGTCTTACTGTTGGGCTGCATTTGTTGAAAATGAAGGCGATTACATTTTTGATAAATAATATTTCAGTAAATTTAACATAAGGTTTGTTTTTATATCTTTTCCAGGAAAATGTATTACTTCCCAATTATACCAATGCAAAAGATGTGATTTTATACGCTTTAGGAGGAGGTATGAAAGATTCCAAAATACGAAGGGGTGCTTGCTTTGAAAATCAGCATTTCAATTCATGGGTTTTGATAAATAATATCTAAATGCAACTTACATTTGTTTTTATATCCTTTCGGATAAAATGTGATTACTTTCCAAACACACTAGTATCTGAGAGTATAATAATAATAATAATAATTCCTTAGTCAGAAACCAAAAGACAAACCTCAAATTGGTGTTGCTGATATTCAATGAGCATTGTCCGAAAGAGATTCTTCAGATATGTCACACGAGGTGTTGTTGCTATTCTCAATTTGTTTTTCCCAAAAACATTCCTGAAAAAAGATAAAAAAAAAAAAAAAAAAAACACAATATCAAATAATAAAAACACCAAAACATTTTTATCATTATCATATTCAAAATACCTTTTTTTTTTTTTACCTGCTCAGGTTGCAGGGGGGGGGGGTCATAATGGAGGCAAAGACTTGAGGAATATAGAATCCATATTTCAAAATAACAACCTAGAGGCTCTAATAAAATATGAATTGGTTAGGCATCTCACCTTGTAGGGTTTTCTTTCAGATAAACAATATGGCTTTCGTTCTTCTAGGTCAACTGCTGATGTATTAACAATTATTGTTGAAAGTGTCTATCAAGCTTTAGATAAGAAAGGTGAATCTCAGGCTTGGGATATTTCGGGGGCATTTGACAGGGTGTGGCATATGCACAAGTCAAAAGTTTATGGTATTTCTGGACAAATTTTTGAACTGATTCAGTCTTTCTTATCAAATCATGAAATGAAAGTTGTTTTGAATGGCCACTCTTCTAGATCTTTCTGCATAAATACAATGTTCCCCAGGCCTCTATCCTTGGACCTATAATGTTTGTAATTTTCATAAATGAATTTCCTGATGTCATCAATTGTCAGTATCTATTCTAATGACAATTATTTACTCCTGTCTTAATAGTAAGTCTGATCTCAAAAGTGAGCTACAATCTGTTGTTAATTGGGGCAAGGAGTCGTTAATTTTAACACCACCAAAATAAAACTGATTTGTTTTAATATTGCTGCTGTATCTGGTCTGGTGCTCGTACTATATATTTAGAGATTCTTGATAAAATCCAAAGAAGAATCTGCAATGTTATTGTTCCTGACCTGGCATTTCAGCTTCAATCAATTTCTCACCACCAGAACATAGCATCCTAGTGCCTTTTCTATAAATACTTACATGATAATTGTTCTGATGAGCTATGGTATAAATTTAAGTGCAATACTTGATAGGGAGCAAGTTCTCATCATTTTACAATTGAAATGGCTAGATACAATAGTAGGTTCTCTGCTAACAGTTTTTTCTCTCACACTTTTCTGATTATGGAACAGTCTTCTAGCTTCCCATTCATGTTTGACCATCAAAAGTTTAAAGGCAATGTCAATCGTTATCTTCTTAATTCTTATTCTTTTATTGTCCTCTTTCCTTAATAGCATATTTTTCTTGTATACTCTAACAGTCAGTAATCCCCATGCATCTTAGTGGCTTTATTGCCTTGTTTGGAGTGAAAGGATTAAAAAAATACAACAACATGGAAGAAGGACAAAGTGTAAGAAAGGGTGCATTCAAAATTCAAGTCAGTAGGGTGAATAAAAAGGATGTCATTCTGTACAATGAAAATGCTTGCTTGCATAGTGTTACAAAAAAGTGCACCTGAATGCACCTACAGTTGGGTAGCACTGGATTTCCATTTGAAGAATTTGTGCTTAACTCACTTTGAGGTAATTGAGACTGCATTGAACAGCACTTGAGACGATTTCTAAAGGAGGAAGTTGTCGATGAGTTGCATTGTGTCGCAGTTCCACAAGCCAGTCAGGAAGGCCAAGCTGTTGAAAAATGAAATGTTTAAAACATGTTAATATCGGCTGTTTGAAGAAAAAAAAAATATTTGGTTTAAATTAGAAAAATATGAAGCAAGAATTTATTTTATATTTGTTGTATTACAAAAAGTGTAGATAGAAAAAAAATTTAAACTACAAATTTCCCAAGATTTCAAAGAAGTAACTTGACCTTGCTAACCAGATGCTTCCTCTGTAGCTAAATGGTATAGCATGTCAGGCTATATGATGGTTCCATGTAGGATACTGGTTCTATTCCTGTCGGAGGATACATATTTTCGATGAAATTTCTCAGACATTCAGGCTGGTAAAAGTTGTTAATATTGTTTATTATAAACAGAGCATTTACTTAAGTATTTGTATCTATGAAAATAATGTATAAACAACAAATATATTAAAATAATTGTCAGACTTAGTCCATTTCATAATATATATATATATATATATATATATATAAAATTATAATTAGGAAAAGAACTTGAAAGTCCTTCATCATCAATTTATTTTGATGAATATAAGTATACTCATTTCACTAGAGAGACCACACTTTATGAAATGGAATGAAGATATTCCAGACAGATATATAAAGATAAAAAAATAGGAAATAGAAAAAAAAAGGTGAAATAATAGCAAAGATAAATTGACCTAGAAAAGTTTTCTTTGGGAGCTTACATTAGGAAGAAGGAACAGTTTGTTTGTTTAAAACTTAACGACCCATTGATCAATGAGAGATCATTTAAGGTCAAACAAAGAAGGAACAGAAAAAAAGAGTTAATGGGTAAGGTAAAGAGATAAGAAAGTTAAATTTAAAACAGAGTTACAATAATGTGTCAAATAAAGCTTACAAAAGAAGGATCATCATCATCATATAATCAATGGACTAATAGGGGGCAAGGGTGGGGGGGGGGGCATTAAAGTCGACTGTCCGTAGATGGGAAGGGATTATTTTTTAGTTATAAAATAACTCTAGTAAGTACCAGTAGTTATGATCATGATGTAAATACTATGAACATGTATATATGGCATAAATAAATATATACTGTACATTATAAATAATATATTTCCCACAGCTACTTTCTCACATAGGCACTAATGTATCATAGTTATATACTGTACACCTGTCTTTGTTTACAATTGAAAGGCTTGCCGCTGCCACCAAGTGGTCACTTTGAGAACAAATACGACTCATTCTGCTAAGCCCACAAATTTTGAAATACATCACTGACGATTTGGAAGCAACCCCCCCCACCGTAGATTTTTTTTATTTTGACTGCAGATTTTGTCTGTTGCACCCAAAGCCTGTAGATGAGGTGTGTGTGTGTGTATATATATATATATATATATATACACACACAGAGTGTCCCAAAATAATGTATACACTCTTTAAATATTAATAGTTAATAATACATTACTGTGATGTGAGAACTTATATGGATGAAAATCTGCAAAACCGATGGATTGGAAGAAGAGGGACAATTGAATACCCAGCCAGATCACCAGATTTGAAACCCTTGGATTTCTTTTTGTGGAGGGTTTTTAAAAGAATGCTTACAGCAGGAAACCTGAAACAATTGCTGAAATGAGAGTAGCAATTGAAGAAGAATGTGCTTAAATACCAGAGGAAATGATACTGGGTGTTTGTAGGTCTATTTCTTCAAGATATGAAAAGTGTATTGAACAGAACGGCAACCATTTTGAGCACTTGATGTGAACTCATCATTATATGAACATTCTGCCATAGCCCCAAGTAACTTTTATCTTATTAAAGTTAATTTTCTATGTTTTTTTTTACTCTCAAATTCTTTAAATGTGTATTCTTTCTCTTGTATTAATTTTATTTACAAGTCAAAATACATAAATTGAATAAGTTATAATGATTCAAAGAGTGTATACATTATTTTGGGACACCCTGTGTGTGTGTGTGTATATATATATATATATATATATATATATAAAAATAAAAAGAAACAGTTTAAAGGTGTGCTATATTTATGGGATAAAGTGCTCAATATCAGAGAGAGTATGTAAAATATAAAAGTGAACACTGTGGACTTTCAATGTTCACTTTTTACACTTTTATATATATATATATATATATATATATATATATATACATATATAAATGAAAGTTATAATGCTTGTATAAGCTAGTGGTTTCTGGTTAATAATATTGTAAGGAAAACACAGGAAAAATGATTAATAAAGAAAAGGTTTAATCACATGGAGGACATGGATTAATAATACAATAATAGCAAATACTGTAGTCCAGTGAAGCAATGTGCACAACTCAATGCTACACCTTGTGACCCATTCTGCAACCCCATCCCGATGAGCAGACGTCATACTCATATTGAATGGATGAGTCTATGTTCAACAATTAGTGTACAAAAAGTCAGTTGTCTTCCTACATAGACATACACATATATATATATATATTAGCAGTAGAGCCCAGCATTGCCCGGGGATGTAACAGTAAGAGATAGATCAAGTATCGATCATCATAAAGACTGAAAAATAAAATTGACAAAGATTATTGTTTAAGGTTGACGGACACACATGTCTTAATTAGTTTTTTTTTTTTTCTTTTCTTTTTTATGAATTGGTCAAACCCAAACTCAAACAAAAACATTGTTTTCAATTGTTATGAGTCTACTGAGTGAATAGAACTTTATTATAAACAATTGTCTTGTAAATGGAATTTTTAAAGCATTCTGAATGTAAAAATAAAGAAAAAAGTGTGCAGGACAATAAGAAACACTACCTGCCAAAAAAAAAAAATTGAAGTTTTGTTGAAATCGGTTGAAAAATGTTGGAAATCCGATCCCATATATAAACGAACACACACACACACAACCTGGGTTTTATAATAAGTATAACTCGATATGAGTTGTTCCCCTTTCATTCTCGCGACAGTGATGCCTCGTGTTTTCAAATTGATTTTGTGCAAAAACAATTGTGTTTTTTTCAATTTTTAGGCGCTGTCAGAACCACCGCCGAGTAATTTTAATTAGTCCTGTGAAGTTTTGTTGAAATCGGTTGAAAAATGAAGGAAATCCGATCCAATATACAATCGAACAGACACAAACACACACAACCTGGGTTTTATAATAAGTATGATATACACACATACATGCACACACACAAGTTCGAATTTTGGTAGAGTTTGATAAATTCACTTTAATGCAAATAGCCTTTAGTAAGATATATATACATCTCTTCTCCCCTTAGGTATGCATTAAATTGTAGAGCAATTAGTAATGGTTGATTCCCTCCTCTCCCAACATGCATCATCCAGATTATTGTATATAGAATTTTATAATTGTTATTTTTTATGTCATGGGGTGTTTTTGTCTAAGTTCCCTGAAAGTATGCAGTATTGTAGTATATGGAGGATTGAATGATGATGGATAAGTCCTTTTAGTGGGTGTACAAATTGTAATGAGTGAATGGGTTGTGAATCTGATTAGCTAGGTATAAGATAGTAAGTGATGACCAGCTTCAGACAATTCCCTACCATTTTCGGCATAGTGCCACAATTGTATTTTATATATAATAAATCTAGACATTAGCAACACCATCCTGTGAAAAATCTTTGCTATGGAAACTAGAGGTACAATACTCAGTGTGTTGAAGATGTGACCCTATATGTGGACGGTTGCAGTGTACAGGACTTGAGCCATAGACAGTTTCTTTTAAAAAGTGGCTTTTGTTTGACTAAGTAGATAGGAATTTAAAAATTTCTCAATTGAGATAATATTATTAAAGCAGAAAAGATGTGGAAAAGAATTGTACATTTTTAAACATCACATAACAAATCAAAAAAGGACATATAAGGACATGGAAGAGAAATTCAGTTGTTTGATTTCAAATCAAATGCACAAACCTCTGAAGCAACAGACTTGACTGACCGAGCATGGAATTTAGTCTGTTTCGTCTCAGTGATGTCATTGATGAATCTGCAAAAGGAGAGAATTCAAAATATTAAAAAACATTTTCTTTTTATTGGCATGGAAGAAGATTTTGAGATTTCACTAATTCATTAGAGTAAACTTTTCAAAGTGAAGTAAAACAAGCAGTTTCCTGAAATTAGTTTTAAATATCACCCCACAACCATACACATCACTTCAACTGCCCACACTTTTTTTTGTCTTGCAAGTGATTTTTTAAATGCCGAAGTCAAAATGATCTACATATAATAAAAATGCTAAACATATGCTTGTTTATATATATAGTAAGTTTACACCTTATATTTACAATATATGTTGGTGCACCTTTGCCTAACAGCATGAACCTGTATGGCACAATAGAATTCTGTACATTTTTGGCCATTACCATACTCAGATGGCTTTCACTGTAAGGAATCGACCAGGGCTGCATAGTCTGGACAGTGGCAGCTGATAGACATTCTCAGACTTCCAAATGTCCATCAGTCATGGTGGAATGGTATTTAGATGTAATAATCTTTAAGTGGGAAAAGTCTGATTCAGTTGAGTTGAAGTTGAGCCAAATAATGCAGTCAAGAAGGTAGCACATTTCCTTAAGTTTTTATAGTTTTCATCAGTGAGAAAGTTCCAGAATAGTCTGTAAGCCCTGGACTTCAGCACAGTGTCAGCCTGTAGCATTAAAATCTCAGTGTCAGCCTGTAGCATTAAAATCTCAGTGTCAGCCTGTAGCATTAAAATCTCAGTGTCAGCCTGTAGCATTAAAATCTCAGTGTCAGCCTGTAGCATTAAAATCTCAGTGTCAGTCTGTAGCATTAAAATCTCAGTGTCAGCCTGTAGCATTAAAATCTCATCCTTCTAGATGAGTTCAGATGAAAAAGCACTTTAATTTTTGATGTGAGTGAATAAACTTCAATATCTTCCTGAAATGGGTTGCACATAAATGTAGCAACTGACTTGAAAACATCTGTCAAACTGTGACAAACAAATGTCAATCTGCCGTGTGCAGCACTCATGGTAAAGTTGTGCACATGGCTTTCTGTTTTGTTGCAAGCTCTGACATGAGATTTTGAAAGTTTTCCAAATGATGGCATTTCAACATTGAGGACAGATGTTTCATTTTTTTTTGAAAGCATTAACTGAGCTGATGATTTTTAACCAGTTTTGTCTTTAACTTGACAAAAGGATTGCTTTTTAATATGTCTGCTTGAATAAAATGTACCATTGTGTGTGTATATATATATATATATATATATATATATATATATATATATATAAAGGTAATAAAATCCGTTGGTATATAATCCAAAATAATCCTAGTAATATAAAATATTAAAACTGATCCACAAAAGAGCTCAATGTATTTATTATAACAGAACATATAAATAATGCACAACAAAATCCAAAATTACCCATATAGGGGATAGATCTATTTCAACCAATGAAAACTTTGTCAGACTTATTCAACCCCAGTCTATACACCAGGGTTGGATAAGACTGAAAGTTTTTGTTGGTTGAAATAGATCTATCCCCTATATGAGATAATTTGGGATTTTTGTTAAAAACTATATATATATATATATATATGTGTGTGTATATATATATATATATATATATATATATATATATATATATATATATATATATATGTATGTATGTATGTATATGTATATATATATATATAAAAAAAGATTGGCCACAAGCACCAGTTTTGTAAACTTTATGCACAGTCATCAGTCTTTGGTGATGTCATTCTTACATCCTTGGTTGATCCAAGTAGGGTAGCTGGTGAGTACAGACAATGCACCCACTAATTAAAACTGTCCCAGTACCCACATGGCAAATGATGGAATAACTAAATATCACCTTAATGAGAAGAACAACCATAAAGGACCAGAATTAAAATTGTATTAATATATTAATTGTGTCAAACAGCAGAGGAACACTTTAGCAAAGGAGCATAATACATAAAGTGGTAAACAATAGAAGGTTTGCAGTATATACCAAAGACTACTACTGTGTACCTGATAACCCTGCACACATCTCATATGAATCTGGTAGTAGATGGTAAGATGAGCAACTGATTTCATAAGAGTAGATAGTTTCACCTTTTGCCTGGTTCACACTCCTCCTTGGTCTTTTGAACAGGAGCAGAGGGTTATTTACACTTGTTTCCTGTTTAGGATTGGGCTTAGGGTTCCTTCAAAAGTTTTCTTATTCTCTTTCATTCCCAGTTACCTGACCTCTTAAGAGAAAAATATTTTCAAAGTTTAGTATCTCAGCACATTTCAAATTAGCCCTAAAAGAGGAATAGAAAGTACCTACCTGATAAGTGCCAGCCCATAAAGATTTCTAAGTTTATGGTTTGATTCCCAGTCTGCTCGTCCAGCAGCAATTTCATGTTGATGTTCTAGACCGGCTCCAATCAGGGCAGCTGTGTTTTCAATGGCAACTGGCAGTCTAGGAATCCTGAGAAAAGAAAGAAAAAAAAAAAAGAAAAAAGAATTACATTGCATTACAAGGTTATTTTGGTTTGGTTTGGTTTGTTTTGTTTTGTTTTATGGCATATCAACCTCAATGGGTTATTTAATGGTGACAAAATTTTCATTGTTGGTAAAAATTTTTTTCCAAAAATTTATTTCTGGTAATATTTTTTCCTTCAAAAATCTCTTTCTAGTAAGAATTTTTCTTCGGTGGTAATGTATGGCTGGTAATATTTGTTTTTCAAAAATGTATAGCTGGTAATAATTTTCTTATACAAAGTATTTCTGGTATTAAAATCTTGACCACATGCGGAGGGTGAATGGAGTCTCTGAGCCTTGGTTGGCAATCCATTTAGTGATGGTGTCACGATAAAAACACCCTTGATAGCCCTAGCGAAGCATCAAGAATTCAGCTATTTGACAAGATTATGAACTACATCAATCAAAGTATTAGCTATGATAGATAAGGAATACTGGAAAGGTGTAGTGAGTTCAATCTCGGCTGAGGCTGCAAGATGATGATGATGATTAAAATCTATTTTTCCACTTTCATAGTGTTTTGATCCGAGTTTGGGTAGGGTTAACTATTTGCCCATAGCTGGGACCCTAACAGGTGATTCCACCCCGGGTCAGGGTGGACCTGGGAACACCAGCAATTAAGAAGTGGTTCCATGCTCCTCAAAACCTCCTAATCAGAGGCCTTGTTGTCAGACATGGTTTATCGTCTTACCCAGGATGGGCATTACAAGGTAAAGAGTTGGAACTGCCTTTTTGTATGTGTATGTTTTATAAATCTGGAGATTCTCATACTGACCAGTGTAAGGCTAATTAACAATGAGAGGACTGATTGATTTTTTTACAGCTTATCAATCTTTTTGCAGGTTATTTAAAGCCAGAAAATAATTTTAGATTGTAAAAAATATTTTTGAGATAATAATGATTTATTGGTACAAGTCCTAATAATTAACACATAGTTGGGGTGAGAAGGGGTGGATTCATGCTTTTCTCAAGGGTATTTGTGTGTAAGCGATAACAAACTTGACTAGAATTAGAACTCAGCTTCCCAATTGTGAGTCTTTATCCATTACACCACCTGCACATCCAAGCTTACAGCACCTGGTATTCCCAACCAGTCATCCAGCTAGGTACTGACCATGCTTGACGTTGATCATATTAGTACAAGTGATATATAATATATATCCACATATAAGCCTGTTTTGTTGTATCACAGCTCACCAGTGCGGCCAGACATCCGATTGCTTCAACCTATGAACAAAACTAGACCGAGTTGGTATCAGTGACTCTACCTCTAAGCTACTGGCGCACGGTAGAGAAAAGGAATCATTTAATGTATTATATATATGATGTATATAAATGCCAAACCAGCAGCCAGAGTGCTCAATTCATAACTGAAGAGCGATGCATTTTAAGCAGGAGCAGCTAGCTTTAAAAATTCCCTTTCCCTGTAGTGCACAATTGGTGAATGAGAGCAAGCCATCCACATAACACCATCACTTGATAAAACACCAGAAGGTGTTGAAACAAAATGGCTATTTTTGTAGTGATTTTATAATATAGTTATGTTATAATTTTTGAATAAATAATTATATTTGCTCTACTCTGTATTGAGCACTCTTTTAAGAATAGTATTTGTTGGCTATTGGAATTTATTCCGTATACACCATCCTATACTTTTATATATATATATATATATATATATATATATATATATATATATATATATATATAAAAAAAACAGTGTGCAGTGCATGTCAGTGGTAATAATGCATTGATAGATGAAAAATAACAGAGCTAAAATTTATTCTAATATATATATATATATATATATATATATACATTCCTCAATGTTTAGTGCATGTGGCACTTTTCCGGCAATAATTGAAAATTGACTGAAATTTTACAAAAGTCAATTTTCAATTTATGCCTGATGATTGACATGTGCATGATCTTATATATATGTATGTGTGTGTGTGTGTGTGTGTGTGTGCGCAAATTCTGTACATATTAAGTATGCCCGGTACTTACTGGAAAGTGGTCAATATCAATTATAGGGCTAACATATTTAGTTGTATTGATGTGAGTTTGTGACCCTAGGTTTCACACCCTTGCGATCGTCAGACAAACGTGTGTGTGTGTGTGTTACTTTAAATGTTATTTTTAGTGGATACTCATATTTGAATAGATGCTCTGTGACATCTAGGAAATCAACTTCCAAACATGCAATTAAAGAGCTTGTTTGGGAACTTCTCACACCCACCATATTCTCCTGATTACCACCTATTTTAGCTGCTTTCTAACAATTTGAGGGGCATTTCGTCCAACAATGATGTGGAGGTTAAACGTCATCTTGATGAATTTTCTCAGTCTAAAACTAGTAATTTCTATCGTCAAGGCACGGAACAATTAGATCGCTAGCAGAAGGCTGTAAGCAATGAAGGGGAACACATTGTTGAATGCTTCATCAGAACTATAAATAAATAATAAGTATTAAAATAAGTTTTGTGTGTGTGTGTATATATATATATATATATATATATATATATATATATATATATATAGAGAGAGAGAGAGAGAGAGATAAAGTCCATAAAGTTCGTGTGCACCTTAAAAAATTTATAACTTAAAAGTGCACACGAAGTTTACGGACACCCTGTATATGTACACACACACACACTCATATATTTGTGTATTTAGGCAGCATTCATGGACATTTCATTAAATATGACAGACAAGGTGCTTTTATTTCATTTTTTTTATACAATTTCTCATGCAATCTAATAATATTTTTCTTTTCAGATGATAAATTATAAAAAAACTGTCCAAATGTTCTTTTTATACAAGCATCTACATGCAAAAAAAAGCTAAAAATAATGGAAGCCTTATTAATAAAAACAAAAAACCAACACTTAATAATAATTCATAATTAACTATGAACATGGACATAATATCGTGACTGAGTTTTGAAAAAATGAAACCACAATATAAATACACACATGCAACAAACTTTCTTATTTAACAGTTAAAATATTTAATCCTTGAAAATGGCTAAATGTATATCTGAAAGTGCTTGGATAAAAAGAACATTTGGACAGTTTTTATATAATTTATCATCTGAAAAGAAAAAGAAATTATTAGGTTGCATGAGATATTGTATAAAAAAACTAAATAAAAGCACCTTGCCTGTTGTATTCAATGAAACACACATACAACTATAGTGTTTTCTTTTAAATGGATTTTTTAATCAGTCATTTTTTCATTGCTAAATTGTTATTTGAAATGGGTACACGCATTTGAGTTTAGGTAATTTTCTTAAACAGAGAAATTAATAACAACCAGCCTAGATTGAGAATGTGTGTGTGCGTGCATACTGTATATAGTCGTGTATCATGCAACTTTTGAAGATTTAGTCTTGAAGCTCATTTTAAGAGGACCTAGATATAAAATTAGCTCATATACTGCTGACCTGGCAAACTATATATCCATTTACTTTTGTCAAATTAGCTCTAAAATTAGGTCTTCTAAAGTATCATGATACATGTGTGTGTATGTATCTATATGTATATATGTGATGTGTGTGTATGTGATTATATATATATATATATATATATATATATATACACACACACAGTCTCTCACATGCATGCATACATACATACATACATAACATTTTATATATGAAGATTTTTGACTTGTATTTCTTTCAACTTATTTTAGTTGTTTTTATTGCAACTTCCAGATTGTAATTCTATATTCATTAGTAAGTGCCAATGACGAAAGAAATGTCTTTGAAGAGGAGTTTTTAATAATAAAGTTTTAATGTTTGTCATAATAAAGAAACTTCTACTTGGCATTGACAATACAAGTGAGGAAAGTATTGGAGATAAAACTTAGACAAAAAAGTAACATACACCTATATTTGGTGTTGAATATATAGGGACTAATATTTAATTTTGTTCATGTCTTGGTTCACAAATTTGAGAATGTCACTGGCACTCTGGCCAACTTCCAAATGTGTCGACCAACAGAGAGTTTTTTTTTTTTTTTTTTACATCTCAGTCTTTAAGGTTATATAACGAAGAAGTGTTACTTACCTGGATTTCCAAACAGCAATCCTACCAAGTGCATGTTTCTGCTTCTTTACATCATTACTGTACAATTCTCGATAGACTTCTTCAAATTCCTCACTGAAAAAAAAAAAAAATTATTTAAGACATTTTTAACAACTATATATTGTTTGAAATTCTAATGTGGCAATATGATTTATGCATCCTTAGGAGATGAATAGATTCGTTTTCCTTTTAAGTCAATTTAATCACCAGGGTTTCTAAGGAATCTTGTCTCCATCCCACCTTTGAATTGACAAACATAAGATTTTGTTAGTAATTTTAGATAGCCATAAATGTAAGGTCCTTTGAAAAAAGTGACCATGTAAAAGGTGTCAGGGTGGTCCACCTTTCCAGTTGGTGGAACCTGAGTGGATGGAAAGGGGTGGTGGGTCCTATATCTATATATTGAATTGGACAGTGAGTGAAGGAGCATTCAGTGTGTAGGGGTCTGTTTTCCGTGTCTGGAACTTAGTGAGAAGTCAGTTTACTTTCTCGTAGCAGAAGGAAGATGTTGCTGATTAAGTGAGAAATGCTAATTTTTCTTCCTGTTTCTTGACCAAACAAGTTTCTTAAAAAGCATTTGTTGTTATTTCTTTGTTGAGGCCATTGATGGTCATAATCAAGACGAATCTGTGGAACATAGTTGGCACCCATGTATTTGTATACAGCCAACCTTGAATGTCATCATAGCTTGTGCAGTGATGTGCAGAATTACAGGGTTGTGGAGTCAGAAGCAATTAAGGGGTCATTGGAGTTGTAGTTGGTAAAACTATACTGACTCCAGTCGAATTTACACTTTATGCAAAAATTCTTACACTATAGAAGTTTTATTTCTTCTACTGTATATTTACTATTTCCTTTAAAGAAATTCATCTCAACTTCATTTTATTTTTTGTAGTTATTTTGTATTTGCAAAACTCTGTATGTAAAAAAAACTTATGTTATAGAATTTTTATTTTTATATCTTTTACATCCTGTAAAAGATTATACTTCAACTTCTGTTATAAAGTAGTTTTATTTTTTTTCCATAATTATTTTTAATTTGCAAAGATATTTATATGCAAAAAGTCTTACATTATAGCATTTTTATTTCTTTTATATCCTTTCAAAGATTTTGTTTCTAATTCTGTTAGAAAATATTGAAGAATGAATAGGTGATGATATAAGAACACAATATTTGTATTCTTTGATGTAAACCAATTATAATGATATAGGTCTACTCAAGTTAGGAACATATTCATAACCTTTATGAGATTTATAGGCCATAATCACTTAATTACATTTATCAGTCCTGCAGAATTGCATCATCACACCGAAATAAAGACATTTTGTCAAAGTTTAACACTTGTACTAACAAAAAAAAAAAAACAGTTATGTCAAAAGGATGTTTTTTTTTTTTCTTGATACCGCTTTTACTGTAAACTCCCTTGGAAATTTTTATTGTTTTAAAAAGCTATTTTTTTTCAAATTTTGATAAAGCCCAAACATATGAAACTGGATTTATACATTTCTCAAGATTAACAACAAAAATATTAAAGACTATTATTTATTTAAAGAATAATTTTATATTTACAAGATTATAAAAATATATGAATCAAGTCCAATGAAATATTTATTATTTACCATTTTATAAAGAAATTTGAAATCAAAGTTTTTTATTCATAAATTTATAAAAATGCCTGTAAACTAGAAAACTATAGTTTCCTCTATCATACTTCTTGTTTCTTGCTGCCCAGTTAACTGATCTTCAAAAATGCAAAGGTAATGTCAGTCATTATCTTCTGTTTTCTTAATTCTTGTTCTTTTATTCTTCTCTCATTTTTTTCTCATATTTACTAACACTCAGTAATCCTTTGTGTCTCAGTGGCTTCATTGACTTGCTGGAGGTGAAATGATTAAACACACTATAATGAATAACTCTAGTTATAAATTTTGATAAAATGCATTTTCCAGACATTTCTTTCATTTTCTCTTGCCACATAAATTCACTAAACTAAAATAGTTTGAGAATTTATACATTTTTTTCCTCTTGTGATGTGACAAACAAAAATGTTAAACACTATTAGATCAAAGGTCTCAAACATATAGATGTATACCATGGGGAACCATTTCTTGACTAATATTTCCCTCAAATTTTAATAAATTTGTCCTTTGCCCCTTCAATATTTTTTTCAGTAGTAGTATTAAGCTAGACCTCAAATATTAACAGTCAATAAGTTTTAAAGTCAGTGGGCATGTTCTAGTTCCTCTCTTGGGAAGGGAAGAAAACCTCACCACCATTACATATTCTTCCTTCGCTACTTGACAAGAGGGTACAAATGTATTTTGCAACAATGTCTTGGTTTCTTAATTTTAAAAGAAAAAAATTGACAATTCATAAATGCCATATTTGAACAAAGCAAAACAAACTACATAAGAAAAATGTATTTTCTTACAAAAGACTTTTAAATTCAGCTACTGACTCCAAAGATGTCCCCATAAACTGTGCCACCTTGTAAACTTTGTAACCATCTACATAGTGGCGCTTGTACAGAGTGAACAATGAACATCATTGTAAAAAAAAAAAAAATAAATAAATAAAAAAGGTATCCAAATCAACACACACAAAAAACAAAACAAAACGATAATGTTGGAGTTGTGCAATTCTATAGGCACTGCGACAAGAAATAATTTATTTTAAAAAATTTTTTTCAATTAAAAAAACAAAATAAAAAACAAACAAACAAGCACAAAAAACTATATGCACTCTGGATCACAAATAATAATAAAATTCAAATAATAATAAAAAAAATTAGTAAATTTTATAAAATTTGAATATTTGATAGAGGATCTAGCTTGCTATGTAAATTCATTGTAAAGTGATCCCCCTAAAACAAAAAATTCTTATAACGTCATTTAAAGTAAAACAAAAACAAATAAAAAAAATTGAAATTCATAATCTGGAGTTTTTTTTTATCAATTAAGCACTCTAGATTAAAAAAAAAAAAAAAAATTGGTAAGAAATCTTTGTTGCATGAGCACATTGTTTTGCTTTTTTTTTGGAGTGGGGGTGTCGTTTTTTTTTTAGATTTATTTACATTTTTTACAATGAATTTAAAATAGCAATCTACCCTACACACCTTCAACCTTTATAAAATTTAAATCAATTCTCTTTTTATTCGTGATCTGGAGTGCTTACAGTAGTAATATGAATAAAAAAAATATATTTCTGGTCGTAGTGCCAATGTATAAAGTATAACACAACCGAAAAATTTTATTGCATTCACAGAAAAAAGTATTTGAAGCTGGTTTGGGATTGTTTTTATTTTAAATATTGTTCATATTTTTCTGTCAAGAATTTAGTCATTTTCTTGAAAACGTAGAATTTTATATAATATTTATAAATAACTATAAGTTAAATTTAAAAAAAAAATATTTTGAAAATAATCACTTGTTTATGGCACAGAAGTGAAAGGCAATTAAAGTAAAAAAACAAAACAAAAAAAAAATCGCACTGAAAGAAAACGAAATTTATACCTCAACGAATTTTGTTTAGATTTCTTAAGCGATTTACAAAATACTTAAAAAATAATTCTGAAGTTTTTACTAAGAAAATAGTATAAAGTTTATTGTAAAAAAAATGCTTTTGCATAAATTAAAGCAAATTTAAGTTATTTTCTTACAAATGCTTTGATTATTTGTGACTTTTCCCGAAAAATACAAAGTTGGTTGATTACTACTAATTTTCAAGTAAAATTTAACTGGTTGTTTTACTGTAATAATGAGAACCAAGAACCATGAAAATTAACTTAAACACATATTTCCTAACTACAAAACTTTAGAGATTTTATACGTGTCTTTTAATTGTATACAGTTTTAAAATAAATAAATACACTTTTTTGTTGAAAATTATTATTTCAAGTAAGAAGCACATGTATTCGATTTTAGATAAATCATACACTCAAAATATATATCTAAGTGAAATAATACTGCACATATAAATATAATCAATAATCCAAAGTCGACATTAACTTAAAATGAAATGACAAGAAAATAAAAAGAAAACATAAATTAACTAACCGGTTTGTCCATGCAGAAACACACGTCGCCATTTTGACTTAATACTGATGTAGTTAAACGGTGTGACACAAAAAAGTGTCCTTTGAGTAAATTTGAATCACAGATGAAACAGCATTGCTTTCATTAATCAATCAAATTAAAAAAAAAATAAGAAAAAATACTTAAATCTTAAACACATTTTCTTTGTTCAAATAAAAGTATGAAAACCATACTTCGGCTATGAATGGCTGAATCTTACAAAAGTGTAGTTAATTAATAAATTAGAATCAGTAGACTTCTTTACTGGAGATTGTTAATTTTGTAAAATATTTATTTATTCAAGTAAGAGTAAATCGTTGCGACTAATATAATATAATAACTAGAAGAATAAAGCAATTTACAATCTAATATGCAACTTAGCGTAGGATTTCATTTACGTTCATCCTGAGAATAATGATCCAATTTGGAGGTCTGTAGCTCTGACAAAGCACATACTATGCAGCCTAAGGAAAAGATCGTTCGTATTGACTCAATAATCCCCACGACAGGCGACAGAAAAAAGTATAATAGTCTATTTTATTTTTAGCGTTTCAAATGATTTCACCGTACAGTAATTTATCTCTCTTACACTGCATTTCTGGAACAATACTCATTAAGGTCCCTTTTCTTTAAGATATAAAACGCCATGCATTTAACCAAAAAAAAAAAATGTAAATGAAATACAACAAAAAAATTAAACAAAAAACATAAAAAGTGGGAGAGGAAGAAAAAAATAAAAGTTATCGTTCGTCACTTTTTAAAAATCTTAGTCGTAAGAAATCTTCTTAAAATGGGTTTTGTTCGGATAATGGAAAAATGTCCGAATGATTTCAATTTTTTTCTGCATTCCATATTCGGATACTCGAAATCCGCTAAATCGATGTACGGATAATCGAGGCAGTGCTGTACTAACGAAGTGATTTGCGTAATAATAATAATAATATAGAGAAGAGCGTGATTTAAGAAAAGAAAAAGAAAACAGTTTGACAAGGTTAAACAATATTTTGACAGAATGTCTGTCTTCTTCAAATTATACTTAATTTTTTTTCAAGTAAAACTTTTATACTTGAAAAAAATTATATAATTTTAGTTTTATAATAAAACTAAAAGTATATAAATCTACAAAAAAATGTCTTCGTACAAACGTTGCTTGTCTTGTAATGAAAAACAAGACAAGACAAAACAAAACAAAACAAAAAAAAAAAACGGCTATACTTGTGAACTTGTAATGAACGTCAAAACGAATGAAACACCGCCAGCGTGAATGCATCCAACTGAAACGTGCTTAATATGATGGTGATCTTGTTCATCTTGGAATTTTTCGTTAGTTGATCTTACTTATTATAAAACGCAGATTGTGTGTGTGTGTCTGTACGTTTATATATTGGATCGGATTTCCTACATTTTTCAACTGATTTCAACGAAACTTCACAGGACTGCGTAAAATTACCTTGCGGTGGTTCTGACAGCGCCACAAATTGGGAAAACACAATTCTTTTTGGACGAAATCAATTTGAAAACACGATTAAGTCGCCAGAATGAAAGGTGGACAACTCATATCGAGTTATACTTATTATAAAACCCAGGTTTGTGTGTGTGTGTGTGTGTGTGTGTGTTCGTTTATATATGGGATCGGATTTCCTACATTTTTCAACCGATTTCAACAAAACTTCACTTTTTTATTTTGGCAGGTAGTGTTTCTTATTGTCTTGCACACTTTTTTTATTTTTACATTCAGAATGCTTTAAAAATTCCATTTACAAGACAATTGTTTATAATAAAATTCTATTCAATCGATAGACTCATAATGATTGAAAACAATGTTTTTGTTTGAGTTTGGGTTTGACCAATTCGTTAAAAAAACACCAAAAAAAAAAAAAAAAACTAATTAAGACATGCGTGTCCGTCAACCTTAAACAATAATCTTTGTCAATTTTATTTTTCAGTCTTTATGATGGTCGATACTTGATCTATATCTTACTGTTACATCCCCGGGCAACGCCGGGCTCTACTGCTAGTTAATTAATAAGAGGAATTAATCAAACAGCTTAAATCCTATGGGACCCTCCTTTCATTCTGTTCATTCCTCCGGACCGGGAAGTTAATAATTTGCTTTGCGTAACAATCCTCATGCATTTTAAGAGTCGACAGGATGGTATATTCAGGAATATTTTTTTCAGAATGTTCACCTTAAGAGGTATGTCGAAATTACAGTCGTTTGTAATAAAATGTTCTGCAAGCTCCGTTGATGTCACTTTGTTGTATCTGACAACATACCTGTGACCAGTGAATCTTATTTAATTTTTCCGTTGTGCATCCGACATAAATCAAGTTATGTTTGGTACATTGGGCGGCGTATATTATTAAATGCGAATCAGCACAATTTCCCCTCCCCTGTAGAAAGTGTGATGTTTCTCTTTGAATTTGCGATAGAATTAATTTGATTCATGTTATTGCATAACGCACAGGGGTTTCCACTTCCATGAGTGTTTAATAATAGTAATAATAATACCCCACAAAAACCAATGACCCTCTTCTACAAATAGTAAAACGCCAAATCCACCCCATCAACAAAGAAGTTTCACTCTTCAAGAAATAGCTAGTAGAGGACCGTGTGAATTTACGAGTTTTTCGAATGAGGAAGCCGTGTATTTATTCTTGATAGAAGAAGGTCCAACTACAAGAATATGGCGGACTCAAGTTGAGTCCAACCGAAGATGTAACGAAAAACAAGACCGATATATATATATATATATATATATATATATCAACAAATATATGTATTAAACAACAAATTTACAAGTCACAATGACATCTACATTTGTGTCTGTGTGTGGACGTAAAGATTTTGTTCTTTGGTGAATGTTCGTACGTACGTGTGTGTGTGTGTGTGTGTGTGTGTGTGTGTGTTTCATGGCGTTTTCCCACAAGTGGGCGAAAACGCGGATCTCTGTGAGAGATCACATTTTAAGTGTGTCCGCTGAAATGCAAAGTCAAAAGAGAACGAGGCAATAAATTGCCCAGTATTTATAGTGTAGGGAGAGCGACCCCTAGTGACAATTAGGAAATTAAGGAGGGGCTAACTCTGACAAGCTTATATCTGAAATCTTACCAACAAAAAACGAAGCGAATATCATTTACACCAAACGAGTAAAACAGAAAGCAAAACAACTTGGTCAAATGAAATTACAAAAAAAACAAAAAACAAAAAAAAACCAAACAAACAAAAACTAAAAAAAAACTAAAAAAAAAACCAACAACATAAAAACAAAAACAAACCAAAAAAGAACAAGAACAAGAACAACAAAAAATACAAACTGGGAGGACAAGGCGTTGCATGGTAAATATCTACCATATGTACCAACAGAAAACACATCAATAGCTGAGGAGCACAGGGCTGAAAGCTGAGATAGAAGGCCTAATTATTGCAGTTCAAGACCAAAGCCTCGCAAACAAATCCTATGAATGTCACATAATCAAGGATGGAACTTATCCGAAATGCAGGATCTGCGGAAAATATGATGGAACTGTCGACCATATTATCTCAGGATATCCGGAACTAGCAAAAAATGAATATACCCAGGAACATGACAAGGTAGCGACATATGTGCACTGGAAGATATGCAAGAAGCACAAAATCAAAAACACTGAGAGATGGTATGAACACCCACTAGACACAGTTAACAAAAATAACGATGTAACTATCCTCTGGGATATGCCAATTCAAACTTACAGTGAAATAAACGCCAACGGACCTGATTCCCTGTGCCTTTTCTCTAAATACTTTTATGGTAATTATTCTGATGAACTTTTCTTCTTTTGTATTGTAATCATTGTAAATATTCATTGGGGTTTCATTTTTAAAAGTTGTTATTTTTTATTCCACCCCCACACAGTTTGTACATATGGGAATTAATTAGGATTTCATAGAGACTCTGAGGTATTGTGGTGACTGGAATAAGAATTGTAAGAATGCGTTGTTTTGGTGAAAGGAATAAAGAGACTGAAAACGAAAGTCTAGGTCATGACCAAAAGTATAGAAATTTCGGAAGGTAACAAATATTTAGAAGGTACAGAAGTTACCGGAAGTCATAAGAAAAGAAAACGTACAAGGAGATAACAGAAGGTAACAACAAGTTATAAGGTAAAAGAAGGAAAAGTAATTTTAGTTGCCACCAGTGTTAACTAAACTGTTTCTTATGGAAGAAGAAAGAATGTGACTTTTCAGGACGTGTGCGATCATGGCTCTCCTCAATTTCCTATCCTTTGTAGCTCTTAATAAAGTTTGTCTTTTTGCTATCTTTCCTAAACCCTGTTCTGCCAAACATTTACACAAGCTCGTTCTTCTTCTGTGTGCTCTGTCCTTACATGACATGGGCGATAACGGCTCTCCACATTCTCCTGTCCTTTGTTGTAGTTAGTATAGTTTGTCTTTTTGCTATCTTTCCTAATCCCTTTTCTGCTAACCATTTACCTCACATAGAAGTAGAAAAAAAGAAATCGTGTGTGTGTATGTGTGTGTGTTTTAAACAGTTCACCTTAAGCAAGGCAATAAAGCCATTAAGACTCAGCAGATTATTGTTCTCACTTGTTCACTCACACACTCTCTCATATATAACCACGTACATAAACAATGGTTAAGTACAATGTTTCTTGAATTTTATAAACTTTCGGTGAAGGTAACGTTTTCATCGTTTTAAACTCGTGGTGATCTTCACTAAGGAAGATCATATATGTAAACATCTTTAGCTTCAGAAACAGGAAATGTCAATGATAATTATTTTTCTCAAGAGAATACATATACTTCTTTTTCTTACCCCAAGTAAGGCAATAAAGTCACTAAGACGCAAGGGGTTACTGAGTGTGATAGAATATGAGAAAAATCATTATTAAGGAGAAAAAATAAAGAACACGAATTAAGAAGACAAAAGATAACGGTTGACACTGCATTTGGATTTTTGAAGGTCAAAGCTGACTGGAAAGTAAAAAGCAGAGAGCGAGAGAGTTCGAGAGA